AATACTATGTCTATTACTATCTCTTAATTTATGGAGAATAAGTTCTATTTGAATCTGATCTTGTTTGAGAAGGTGAAAACGATCTTTCTTCATCACTTTCCAGAGCTTAACTAATATAAAATATATTTACCATTAACTATAGAATCAATGATTTCTTAATCATCTTCAGGATCCATTTAATTATTTATTAATTATAATTTTATAATTTATTTAATATTGTAATATCTTTAATTTCCTTTTAGAATAGAAATACAAATACTATTTCAATAATAAGTTCTACTAAGGAATCAAACAGTCTATTTATAGAAATATAATTTAAATCTATTACAATACATTTTTATATTAATAAATAAATAAAATATAAATATAAAATGGCTACACAACCTTTATTAGAAACATTGCCCAAAGATTTCCATAAAATGCCACCAAATTATAATTTCTCTCACAAAGGTAGTTTGCTATGGTATTCTTACAGGAATTAACTGGAAAGATTATGAAAAAGATTTTGTATTGAGAACTGATGCTGTTTGGGAAAAGGAATAATTGAAAGATTGGTTTAGATTATATACTAAAGTATTCTCAAAATCATAAATAGTGCTTCTATTTTGATACAACAGCTAACAAATATTCATTAATGGAACCTGATGATGTATATACAATATTATTCGAAGGATGTAATATATTCATCTAAAGTCTTATAGGGGCATTGGAAGATTGTCTATTTCCATTTAGAGGTACAACACCAACTGGTAGAACAAATTGCTTTTAAGTTGGATTACCTCCAAAATAGAAAGTCTATGTTCCTTATCCTACTTATTAATCATAATAAGATTATTTTACATTATGTGCACTTAGATTTTAGAAATGGTTTGATTGTGATTAAGCTGAACATTTTAAAATGGATAAGACTGAAGCAGATTATTTGAAAAGGGCCAAAGTCTATCCATGTTATGCAATGTTTTACGAGGCTGCATATGCATGCACAGTAAATTATATTTGTTATTATAGGATGATATGTTCGATTTCTTAATGGAATTAGCTTATACTAGAAGATCAAATAGAACTTTTGAATATAATCACTTTTAACATGAAATGCGTAGACCACCAACAATATATGATTCTCCTAAAAATGCAGAGAGAATCAAAAAGACATATTGATTTATCATAAGAGTTAATATAATAAATAAAAACATTATTGTCTATTAGTCTAAGTATAAATATATCAAAATTCACTATTAAATTGAATATTATATAACTGGTTGTGTAGCATTTTCATAGCCATTCCTAATTACATTTTTTGTTATTATTAAATTTATGATTAAGTTTCGATATCTTGTGACTTTTCTACAGCTTTTGAAAATTCTATTCTTTCTGCTTTCTTAATAGACTCATATTCCTTTGAAATTGGGTGATTGTTACTAATATATTATTGGTTCTAGTTTGTATTAATACAATAATTACTGTTTAAACAGCTTTCTTTTCTGAACTTAAATGAGAATATGGATTATTTAATAATAAATTTTTTTCTTATTTTAATTTTCTTGCTTTATCCTGTCTTTGAATGAATGAATCCATCCCTTTAGTGTTTCTAATATCTACTTCAGGTATTTATTATTATGGTTCTAATTGTGGTTGAAATGAGCAGTTCTCTAAAATTTTATCTTTGGCACCATCTCTTTTTTCATTAATCTTCACATTTCTGTCATCTAACCATTTTTTTTGCCTCTCATAAAAAGGCTTATTAATTTATAGTTCTAAAATATATTATATATATTGAACAAGTTTGATTGATTAAAGAAGGTTTAAAAGTGCATTCAGGATCTAATTCTTCATCTTTTTTTTCCTTTTCCTTAATTTTGTTTTTGATTTCCTCTTTTTTACATGATCCCTAAATTAATTAATTAGGATACTCTCTCTAATAAAGATTCCCAAATAGGTTTCTTTGGAGAATCTTCTTCTGTTTTGGCTATGCTTTTCATTATTTAATTTATTAATAATTATACAATAATTTTTAATATGGATCTCTAATTTCAAGAATAATTAAATATCAAAAGAACATTAGAATATTGGATTCCTGGAGCTACTTTGGAATAAATGAAATAGAAGTTAAATACTAAACCAATATCTTAATTCAAAAAAGAAGAATTTTTAAATGAAATCAAATTTGGAAAAGCCAATATATATTAATAAGATGATAAATATTTATCTGAAACCGAGAAAGCATATTTAATTGCTTACAATCCTGAAAAGAGAGTAAGAAGCGATTATGAATGTATGTTTATGAGCAATGATGAAAAAACATCTGATAGAGAAGAATAAACTAATTAAAAATGTGAAAATCCAAATTGTCCTGGAACAGATACTAAATGGATTGAATGTAGTGAAAAAAAATGTTGGTATCACTAAAGTTGTGCAGGAATACCCCTTAATAAAACACAAGAAGAAATTGATTAGATGGATTGGAAATGTAAAAAATGTAGAAAAAGATGATTAAATTAAAAAATATTTTATATTCTGATTAATGATTAAAAAATAAAATGATATCTTAGAAGCTTTACAATTATTATTTGACACTCTAAAAACCCATTAGAAATTTATAATTTTCTATAAAATTATATATTGAAATATATAATTAATTCAATATATAAATACTTAAATATATAATAAAGAAATTAGAAGCTTTAAAATTTTTTATTTGATATATTTTTAATCGATTTTACAAATTATTGATTTCTAAATATAATTTCATAGCAAAAAGTGTATGTCTCATTAAATTAAAAGAGATTATTCATTTGCAAAGTACTTTTCTTTATTTTCAAAACGTAAATCAAAATTCGAAAAACTTTTTGATTTTGGGATACAATTATCATGTTTTTATTTTGAAGGATTCATTTAAAAAGGATTTAAAATTGAACATTTAACTGGAAATTCATCTTCAATTTCTGAATTCACTATAATTTATTTAATATACCATACTCAGCAAATTCTTTAGTTGAAATTCTTTTATCTAATGATAAAGTCATGCTCAATTCATTATTAGATTCAACAATTGTATGTAAATCTAATCGTTCTTTTGTTTCTTTCAAAAACTCAGCTTTAAGATTTTATTTCACAGTTATGAACCATTAATGTTTTAATGCATTTTCAATTGTAATACTTTATGATAACAATTGATTTAGTAAATCTAATTAACTAATTCTATATAAGAATTAAAATTATTTATTTTCTGTATTCATATTTTATAATAATTATCTTTATTATGTAATTAGTTTTTAGTCAACAAATTATTTAATTTTATCATTTTTTTCATAAAATGTTATTTAATAAAGTAATTAACCTAAATTTAATAAGTCTAATTAACTATTTTTGTTATTGTTCATCAAATATTTTGGAAACAAAATTATGATTTATAAAAATGCCCCAGACATATTTATAAATATAGATTTTAAACTAACATTTCCATGATATATTCCAAGATTTTTATATTTTTGTAAAGTTTAAAGAATAAGATAGATTATGCAAACTAAAGGAGCCTCTCTAAATTCAAAATCATTAAGAATCAAAGACTCTAATGATTACATTTTCATGTATTTCATAAATAATATATACATTGAATTTTCTTCATAAATTTTAACAATTTTTGTTTATTCACTTATATAATTCATTATAATAATACTATTATAGAATTATTCCTGATCTGATTCAGTGATTATTTATTTCTTATCTATTTATAAAACACAATATAATTCTTGATTCTATTTAATAAAGATTTTGTTACTTTACAATTTTATGCAAAAGGAATACAATTTCTTTATTCAAACAATTAATATTTACTTAAAAAACTTTTACTTAAACAAAATCTTTTTATCACAGCCTAAATTTTAGAAAATTAATTAGAATTACTGATTATTAAAAATTCCTTACCTTTTGAATTATGAAGGATAATTATATAAAAACCCTCATTTTATTTTAATTTTGTATATCTCATTTCATAATAACACTTACATAATAGAATATATTTATTTTCAATGAAAAGAGAATTTAATCCAAAATGAACTTGTTATTAGACTAATTCTTTTTTTTTATGATTATAAAGTAAGATTATTTCTTTGAATAAATCCTTATCTTCAAATAATTTGATTAAAGAAACTTCATTTGATTAAAACAAACTCTTTGTTTCATTCATTTTCAGTTCCTCAATAATTTAAGGATGGTATTAAATATATTGCATATTATTATAATATATATATATATTAATTAATAATAAGAGTCAAATTTCTTTCTCATTATACTTTCATCTAAATTTAAATGAATTTAATAGTCTCATAAAAAAGAGTAGTAGTATTATGAGAAAAGAACATTATTATTATTTAATATAATATTAATCCTTTATAGTTATTCAATTTTATTAATATATTTATTCAGCACTTTGTCCAATACAATTTTAATGTAATTTATTTGCACCTTCACTAATTAAATAATGATAGCATTCATTATTTTTTAATAATGCAGATTTTATCAAAGGTGTATCACCTCCTAATGTTTGTGCTTCTATTTTTGCTCCTTTTTTTATCAATAATTAAACATTTTTTAATTGTCCATAATTTATTGCATAATGCAATGGAGTTCTTCCTATCTTATATATAAATTTAATTATCTTACAGAATCTGTGATTTCTAAATTTTATGATTTTTCAACAAAATATTCTAAAATTTCAATACTTGGATTAGATGCTGCTAAGTGAATTAATTTCATTTTCTAATTACCACACTCTTACTCAGGGGAAGGATTATACTTTTTTAAGTCTTAGATATTTTCTTTTATTATTAATATTTGAATACATCCTTTAATTGCTTATATTATTTATTTAATATTAATCATTTATATATATTTATGTATTTTTGCAAGTTATTTAATTTTGAATATGTAAAATAGAATGACTAAGAACAAATCCAAATTAAATTTTATATAACAGATATAAAATATTTAGTAAATTATAGTCATCTGTTATAAAATAATCCACCGTAATTCCTTGAATATCCATTTAATGTGCTTTTATTATGATAATCATTTAATATATAATCTTTCTTCTTTAATCCTGACTATGTTAATATTTTTGGCTAACAATTCTTTAATAACCCTAACTCCTTAAGTTTAAATAAGTTCTCTTTCAAATGTTAGTTAGTTAGAACTACGTCTGCCTCCTTAACAATTGATTCAATAACAGGATTTTTTTAAGGCCTCTGACCATAACGACTTGTCTATAAATTATAAAGTGATTCCTTTAGTTTTTATGTAGCAACTTGATTCTCATATAATGATTATGACCTAGCTTTTTTCTGGCTTAGTTTTGGTAATTTCTCAGACATAATTATTTTTTATATTATTAAATTTTATATTTCAAAGAATCATATATAAATATGAGCAACAATATCTATTAATTTGTAATTATTTTAAATTATTTAACAATTCTTATTTTTTAAATTAGTGTAAAATTTCTATTAATCAATAATAATTCTAAATTTTAAAGAATTACTAAGCTGAAAATAGTCTAACTTAATTTTAATTGATAAGAATAATTAATATATAAATTTTATTAATTCATAAAATAGTTTCTACTATTTTATTTAAAACCATCGTTACATATCAAAATAACATTGATATAACATTTTATTAATCATCTAATGAATCTATTTCTAATTAAATAATGAAAATTAATTTACTAAATAAATAGAAGAATAATAATAATATTAATTTACTGTTAATTCATTATATTTATTTGAGAATATTTATTTTAATTCCTATCAACCTATTTCTGTATCATTGCAAAATAAAAGTTAAAATATTAATATTAATTTTTTACATATATAATAACTCTATTTTATTGAAATGGGTGAAATTTGATAAAAAAAATAGTTAAATCATCATATTCAAGTTTAAATTTATTAACAATATATATCCTAGATTTAATGATAATAAAAAAAATTAAGTAATATAATAAATTCAAAAGAAGTATATAATTTCTACCTTAATTTATTGAGAGACTATATAAATCTATAAATACTAACTTTATTGATCTTATCTAAATCCTTTATTTGAACAATAAAAATTGGATTTTCATATATTTTGATTTATATAAAAGAAAATTTTAATCTTTTTTTGTTTTATAAAAGATTTTAAAAATATTTATTATTAAAATATTTTATCATTTATATAATTTATGTCTGATATAATCCATCTTATTAGTAATTACTTACAATAGATCCCCTTTAGAATATTTATTAAGGATTGTAAAATAATTTTATTATTCTAGATCAATCTATTAGATATCCATACAATTTTCAAAAAATTCATCTAAAATTAAAGATTCTAAAGTTTTTTCAATGTGCAACAATTACCTAATATTATTAAGTATAGATTTACTTATTACCCAATTATGGGTTCTTATCTAAAAATTATTGTAAAAACTAACTTTTTAAATCTTCACAATATTTTAATACAATTTTTTTCATAAAATTTATCGAGATTTCAGATGATTACAATTCCCTTTAAATTTCACTTTCAAAATGAGAAAACTCTGCTCCTTAATAAATATGTTATCCATTATTTTATGATTTAAAGAATTTATCTGCTTCATCTTAAAAATGCTTAAACATCTTTCTAGCAGTTTCCACTTCTTTTTAGATAAGAGTACAAAAACTTTTATATTCAAATGTCTTAGTAATATCATTTTATAATTCTTATTTTTTCAAAAGATGAGGAAAAGCTGAAACATTAAATTTATCAACTAGATTCATTCTAATCATCTCTATCAAATAACAAATATATTTAACAATTAGATAGGCACAATATATACTCTAAGATTCTCGAGTTTCATCTCTCTAAAAAAATATAATAATTATAAATATATTAAACTTCTTCTTTGCTCAATTCTAAGACTTCTTCAACAACTTTATATAAATAAAATATTTTGTTTCTTTCCATCAATAAATACTTAAAAGCCTTTGATTCTTTATTCCTTTAAGAATTCAAAGTTAATTCTTATTATATCTAATTTGTATATTATTCGTTATTCTTAGTTCCTAAAAAATTAATAAAATTATACTTTCTGCATAAGTCAGTTCTCTTTCAAATAATTCTTTCCAATTGATTCTTTTATTAGGATCTTTAGTGAGCATTTTTAATAATAAATCCTTTGTTGTCTATGATACTACATTAACATTATCTAAAAATTAAATTTCTCTTTCTTCAACTGCCAACATTAATTAAGCCATTGTTTTCTCCTCAAATGGACATATTCCATATAATAATTCATACAAAACACATCCTAAAGACCATATATCAGCTTTGATTGAATATTCTTATCCTTTTAATATTTCTGGAGCCATATATATAGGTGAACCAACCATAGTTGATGATAAATCTTGTGGACCATTCAAAGCTTTGCAAAATCCAAAATCACCTAATTTAACTTATCCATTATGTAACATAATATTGCTTGGTTTTAGATCTCTATGCATAATATTATCTTAAATTAAGGATTAGAATGCTTAAACCAATTATCTAAAATAATATAAAGCTTCTTTTTCAGTTTGAACCCTAATTAAATATAATATTATTACCCTTATTCTTAAATAACTGCTTCAAGTGTTTGTCCATTACAATACTCATAAACAAAATAGTAATTACGAGAACTCTTAAGCATTTCTATAAATTTAACAACATAAGGATTGTTAATTCTAGCTAATGTTTAGATTTCATTCATAGTGAATTCCTCCAATTTTGATACTTCTTTAAATTTTTCAATTTTGACAACTTTCACTGCAACTAAACTATTATTCTTTATGTTCACTGCCTTGTACACTTTACCATACTGTCCTGAACCAATAACTTCAAGAAGGGAATAATTTTCAACAACTTTTGAACTCATAATTTTTATATATTTAATATCAATTCTATCAAACAACCTGAACTTCTAATAAAAATGGATCCAACAAATAAACTTATGATAGACCAACCCAAAATACTTCTAGTTTTTTCTTCTAAGTAAGTAATACTAATATAATCTAATAATATAATAGCAGTTATTAACATTAAACATAATGTCATTAAAATTTCACTCCAAAGCATAATAAAATTTATGATTTTTGTTTTGAATGGTAGTTTTGTAGCTAATAAAGTAACTGTTATTATTTATGTAATAACTAAAATAGTAATACATATATTTTATTGATTATTTAATAATATGATACAACTTGTAAATACCACTTTTTTCAATTCCTAATATAAATTAAAGTTTCTTTTAAAAAATGCCTTTGTTTATAAACCATTGAATTAACTTAAAACTTAAGAACAATTTAATAAATAACTATATTTAACATAAATCTTACAAATATTGAAAAATATAATATATGAGAATGGCATAACTTATAGTGACAAATGTTGTATTAATTATTTAAATTACACTAGAAGTTTAAATGTACTCAATCTCTATAAATCCATATAATAAAAAAGGTAATGAGCAAATTGAAGTTGATCTTAATAACAATTAATGAATATTAATTTTTCTATTAAATAAATATATTATTAAAATGATCATAATAGATGAAATATAAAAAATCCATAAAATAAAAGTCTAATTAATGTAATTGAAATCACTTAAATATTAATTGAATATTGTTATCATCTCAAAATTAAAATTAAAATAACGTAAATATGATGTTACATCTCTCATTTATATGGTTAATTATGTATTAAAATAATATAATAAACCACAGATTTGCAAATTTTCTAGTAATTACCAAAACATAAATATATTATATGACATATTCAATTGTCTATTCTTTAATTTATAGATTATATTAGCTATTATTGATAAGAATGATAAGAAAAATAAACTATAAATAGAGATTACTAATCCATATACAGTATTTTATTAAAAATCACTGTAATAAATATAAGGACCTAGTAAAATTATTATTGTTTATTAATTTTTATTTAAATATTCTTTCGAATTTAAATTAATAATCTAATAAGGTGCTAAAAATCTGATTATACAATTTGCATAATAGAATTGATTTGCAAAATTTAGATTTATGTAATATGTTGTATTATCTTATGAATGTATATTGTAAGTATAATTATTCTGTTAAGGAAAATATATTGCAGTAATTTATTCCATTTATGTAGATGTCACATTTATTTATTATGAAAATATCAGAATAATCTAAGACTAATTTTAACTCACTTCATATGTCAATGTTAAAGTGTTGGATTGTGCTAATATTTGAACTGGAAACAGAATGCTAATTATTAAATAATGAAGCATTTTTAAAAATAAAATAATACATAAAGTATAATCATGGTGATTATAGATTAGTAATTAAATCAATAATAAATCTTGTAGGAACTATCTTATAATTTACTCAATATCATTAAACATATTAATTCTTCTCGACTTTTTAATATCAAAATTAATACAAATTTAACAATTAAGATATCAAAATGATAAGCATATTAATCTAATCTACTCTTTATTAATAGATTAGTTGTTTTTTTTTTACTTTAATTCTATCCTACCAGACTGGCTATATATCTAATTGGTTCATCATCTTCCTATATAATTTGATTTTCTTATATTATTGTTCTTTAATACATTATGTATATATTTAAATATTATCATTTTTTAATATTTTGATTATTCTATAATTAAATTGATTGCATTTTAGTAGTTGTTTTTAATAATTGAATTTGACTATCTTAAAGATTTTAGTTAAATTTATCAACTTCATCATGTGAATCATACATCAACATTAAACAACCACCACTAAATGATTAGATTAATTTTCTTACATTTCCTCATTATTATAATTGAAAACTGTTTATTTTTATTAAGACATTTAATATATATATTTATTAATTAATTAGAAATTAAAACATTAATATAGATAAATAGAAAAACATAAGTGTAATATTAAATGTCTTTTGTTTTAATATCTTCTTAATAATCAAATATATATTATTATTTATTTCAAAAATAATTGCTATATAATATATATATATATTTTAATTAATATAGGAATGAGTCAAAAAAGAATGACAATCGCTCCAATTTTTAAAGCTCAATTACCTAAAATCAATTTCTAATAGGCTAAGAAAGAGTAACTTTTAGTTGATGAACTATTACTAACTCAATAACATTTTCATGATTCCCGGTACATAACTATTTAAATTTTAGTGAGCTTGTCAATAATATTATTAATGAAAAAAACAAGGAAGCTGTAAATTAATCTTTTTAAGATCAATAAGTTAGTTATTAGGCAATAAAATAAAAGCTAGAGCCAACCAAAGAAATTTTTCAATAGAAGTAACCTTTAGAAATTAATAAAGAATTATCACAAAACCAGTTACTAGATAAGCAAGATCAAATTCTAGGAATAGAGGTTAACATTCAATGATAATCACTATAAGAGATGATTCAAATTTTTAATGGATGAATGATTTATGCAAGAAAAACTTAAAAACTAATTTACCTAAACCAGCTAGAAACCCTGTAAAAATATAAGAGAATTTTAGTCGTTTGTCAAATAGGAAAAATATGTCATTTCATGAAAAAGTAAATGATGAAGAAATGAATTTTGAATTGCAAGGTCTTAATACTAATAAAACTTTAAAAAATTATTTAACTTGGGATGATCCTTAAACACCTACAGATATTATATAATAATTTAAGAATGATAAATCTTATCATGCTAAATGTCCATTTTATGAAGGAAATGGATATGTTTGGACAGAAGTCTAAATTTTAGATTATGATTAGAATTAATAGAAATTTATAGTTAAAATTATGAAGAATGATTAAATTAAATATGTAAGTAGATTATCCTTGATGTTGAAAACTGAAAATGAAACAGAATTCAATTTGAGACTTTAATAATGCAGAATATTATAGAAATAGGCTGAAGAAGAATTAAGATTCTTTAAATATGTAAATAGTATACCTGATTAACTCATCACTTCATTACCTATTTAAACTAAAATAAACATAAAGAAGAAATTAAAATTAAATAAATAATCAAATATAGATTTTGAATAAATTGAATATGAATATAAGTTATTTATGAAGAAATTTCTTACTCTATAGAGAATGAATTAAAGTGAATTTATTACTGATTTCATATAAAATAGAATTAAAATGAGAAATATGAATAGTATTTTATAAAAGTTTCCAAAGTTAAAAAATATAAAAAAAGATTTCCAGTAAGTTAAATAATAAATATCATAATCTCCTATTTTAAATAATAAATATATTCTATAAACTTTTGTAAAAATCCAAACTATAAAAGAATAATCATTTGAATTGTTACCAACAAATTATCCTTATGGACAACTTCCATTTGTTTTATCTAATTTAGAAGCATATAATTAATAAATGTATAATGTACTTAAATTAACTATGTTTAATAATTGGAGAACATAAGTTATATAAGATGTTTAAGATAGTCTAAGATCATAATTCAATTTTTATTAAACTGATGATGTAGGATATTAAAGATCATAACTATGTTTATTATTAAAAAGAATAGATTAATAATTCAGTTATTTAAATATGAAAAATTTGGTTGAAATGAATATAATAAAATGGGTAAATCATATAAAATCATTTACAGATGAATCTGAAAATCTAAGTAAAGAACCCTTCATATAAATTAATATTGTTATATAATAAATAGTTCGTAAGAAAACAGTATTACATAAATAATCTACATTTGGAGAAGAAAGATATATGATTTTTGAACCAACTAGATAATAAATTATATAGGCATTAGTCAATCCTATATAACTTATAAAAGATACTGTCTCATAAGTTAAGAAAGTTGAAAATGATATAATGCCTTTATTAGATATTGGTTAAGCATTATCTGTTCAAATGGAATAGATTTCTCATCATTTTGATTTTGCAACTGAATAGATTATTACTTTTATAGATAATGCTATGAAATTACCAAATGTAATTTTAGATTAATTTAATGAATTTTCTTATTTATATACTAAGAGTTAAAGTCATTTGATGAAAAGATTATTTGGAGATTCAAAGGAAAAACCTGCTATTACATATATAGAATTGGACAAAATTAAAGAAAAATTAAATTATTATTTATAAACAATTTTTAGTATTGAAAGATTATGTATAGATGAAAAGAATTTTTCATTTTTTTAAGTAAAAACAAAATAAGCAAAATTAACTTTAATTTAAAAATCTCAAGAAATTATTAATGGTATATTGAATAGATTAAGTGAAGTGTTAACTGATAATGTATCAAGAATTAGTAAATTATATTAAGATATGTGTGAAAGAATATTGGAAGAACCTAAAGAGGAACATGAGATGGTTTAATTAAAGAATTTTATAGCTGAAACTGAAGTAAATTTAGCTAAATTAGCAAATGAAGTAAATATGTTATTTTAAACATTGGATTTATTACATTAATATTAATATTAATATGATAATAAAGAAATTGAAAATTTATGGTTTTTAAAACAATGGCCAGCTGAAATAAGAATAGCTTTAGTTGAAGGATAAAGGAATGTTCATTTAAAAGAGACAAAATTCACAGAGAAATTAGATTAAGAGAAGGAATTATTCATAAGAGAATTGTTAGTATTGGAGAATTAAGTTGAAGAGATTAAATTTTATGAAGATTATAGTTAAGTAAAAACATATGCATAAAATGTGATGGGATTAAAAGAGAAAATAAATAATTATTAAGATAAGGTAAGATCATTTAATGATAGAGAAAATTTATTCAAATAGCCTTTAAGTGATTATGATGACTTGGTCAAAATCAAATAGGATTTTGAGCCATTTTATAAAATTTGGGATTTAGCTATAGAATTTGATATAGATAAACAAGAATGGTATTAAGGTTAATTCATGAAACTTTAGTACTCATAAATTGAAAGAAAAATGATATAATATTATTAAAAAGAAACTCTGATATTATTAAAGTATTTTTAGGATCAATCAAATGATAAGGCTTTGAGATTATTAAATGATTTAAAGAAGGATTTGGATAAATTTAAGGAAGTAATGTGGCTAATTGAATTTTTGAATTGTGAGGCAATATAAAAGAAACCAAAAATTTGGGATGAAATCTATGCTATATGTGGATATGTTGGTGATGATATTACTCTTAATCAATTATTAGAACATAATTATTTATAATTTAAGATTTAGATAGAAGATATATCCAAGAAAGCTACTTATTCATATGATATTGAGAAAAGATTAAATGCAGTAGTTGATAAATGTAAGGAAATCAAAATTGAATTCATTAAGAATTCTAATATTATGAAGATTGATGAAACCTAAATATTATTAGATGAATAATTAAATACTATTCTATTATTGAAATAAAGTCCTTATGTTGTAATGGATAAAGCTATAGTAGTAGAAAGAAAGATTATTCTCATTTAAGATACTTTGGAAAATTGGAGAACCACTTAAAAAGGATATATTTACTTATAACCTATATTTTAATCAGAAGATATAAGAAAAAAATTACCATAAGAAAAAAATAAATTTGATTTTATTGATAGGTTTTGGAAATAGATTACTGAAAACTTTTAAAAAGATCCATTAGTATGGGAAAATATTGAAAATGAAAGATATAAATAAGAAAGCAAACATTGTAATGATTTATTAGATTATATATTGAAAGGACTTAGTAATTACTTAGAATAAAAAAGAAAGGTATTTCCTAGATTCTTTTTTTTATCTGATGATGGACTCCTAGAAATCTTAGCTTAAACTAAAGATCCTTTACTTATTAATAGACATATTTAAAAATGTTATGAAGGAATATATGAATTACAATTTGATGAAAATAATGAAAATATTTTGAATATCATATCTCCAGAAAAAGATATTATTAATTTATATAAATCATGCAATGTTATTGAAAATGAGAAATAGGGTAATGTTGAAAAATGGTTGCAAGAATTTGATCAAATTATAATAGAAACAATTAAAAGAATTATGAAAGAATGTGCATAAGATACTGATAAATAGTGGTATTTAAAATGGCCATCATAATGTGTTTAAACAATGACACAAGTTAAATGGACTTCATCTATTGAATAAGCATTAATTTCTTAAATTTCTTTAGAGAATGTATTACATTAAATTAAATAACAAATTAAAAATCTTGTTTAAATTTTATAATAGAAAAATCTAAATATCTATTAAAGAATCTAAATTAGTTAAATAATAATATTATTAGTTCATAATAGAACTTAAACTGAAAGTTTATGTAAAATTGAATCCTTAAAAGAGACTGATTTTAATTGGTTAATCAATTTAAGATTCTATGATGAAAAGATTTTAAGAGTTTCATTGTTATCATGTAATATTCAATATGGATTTGAATATTATGGTTTAACATAAAGATTAGTCATTACACCATTAACTGATAGATGTTATAGAACACTTATTATGGCATTTTAAAATAATTATGGAGGTGCTCCTGAAGGTCCTGCAGGAACTGGTAAAACAGAAACAGTTAAAGATTTAGCTAAATGTTTAGGAATTTAGTGTATAGTTTTTAATTGTTCAGAAGGCTTAAATGTAATGTCTATGAGTAAATTCTTTAAAGGATTAATATGTTGTGGAGCTTGGTGTTGNATTAAATACTATTCTATTATTGAAATAAAGTCCTTATGTTGTAATGGATAAAGCTATAGTAGTAGAAAGAAAGATTATTCTCATTTAAGATACTTTGGAAAATTGGAGAACCACTTAAAAAGGATATATTTACTTATAACCTATATTTTAATCAGAAGATATAAGAAAAAAATTACCATAAGAAAAAAATAAATTTGATTTTATTGATAGGTTTTGGAAATAGATTACTGAAAACTTTTAAAAAGATCCATTAGTATGGGAAAATATTGAAAATGAAAGATATAAATAAGAAAGCAAACATTGTAATGATTTATTAGATTATATATTGAAAGGACTTAGTAATTACTTAGAATAAAAAAGAAAGGTATTTCCTAGATTCTTTTTTTTATCTGATGATGGACTCCTAGAAATCTTAGCTTAAACTAAAGATCCTTTACTTATTAATAGACATATTTAAAAATGTTATGAAGGAATATATGAATTACAATTTGATGAAAATAATGAAAATATTTTGAATATCATATCTCCAGAAAAAGATATTATTAATTTATATAAATCATGCAATGTTATTGAAAATGAGAAATAGGGTAATGTTGAAAAATGGTTGCAAGAATTTGATCAAATTATAATAGAAACAATTAAAAGAATTATGAAAGAATGTGCATAAGATACTGATAAATAGTGGTATTTAAAATGGCCATCATAATGTGTTTAAACAATGACACAAGTTAAATGGACTTCATCTATTGAATAAGCATTAATTTCTTAAATTTCTTTAGAGAATGTATTACATTAAATTAAATAACAAATTAAAAATCTTGTTTAAATTTTATAATAGAAAAATCTAAATATCTATTAAAGAATCTAAATTAGTTAAATAATAATATTATTAGTTCATAATAGAACTTAAACTGAAAGTTTATGTAAAATTGAATCCTTAAAAGAGACTGATTTTAATTGGTTAATCAATTTAAGATTCTATGATGAAAAGATTTTAAGAGTTTCATTGTTATCATGTAATATTCAATATGGATTTGAATATTATGGTTTAACATAAAGATTAGTCATTACACCATTAACTGATAGATGTTATAGAACACTTATTATGGCATTTTAAAATAATTATGGAGGTGCTCCTGAAGGTCCTGCAGGAACTGGTAAAACAGAAACAGTTAAAGATTTAGCTAAATGTTTAGGAATTTAGTGTATAGTTTTTAATTGTTCAGAAGGCTTAAATGTAATGTCTATGAGTAAATTCTTTAAAGGATTAATATGTTGTGGAGCTTGGTGTTGTTTTGATGAATTTAATAGAATTGATTTAGAAGTATTATCAGTAGTTGCTTAATAAATTATTATAATTTAATAAGGTATAAAAGAATAAAAAAAGATGATATATTTTGAAACAGATGAATACTTTTTAAATAAATCATGCTAGATTAATATTACAATGAATCCAGGTTATGTAGGTAGATATGAGTTGCCAGATAATCTAAAAATACTCTTTAGACCATGTGCAATGATTTAACCAGATTATTAATTGATCACTGAAATCTTTTTATATTCTATTGGATTCTAATAGGCAAATTATTTATCAAATAAGATTATTATAGCATTACAATTATCATAAGAATAATTATCAACATAAGATCATTATGATTTTGGGATGAGATCTTTGAAATCTGTTTTATTAACTATTTCATAAATTGATAATGAAGATGAAGAAATTAAATGTATTTAAGCATTAATGAATGTAAATTTAGGAAAGTTAATTAATTAGGATATTTAATTATTCAATTCAATTATTTAAGATTTATTCCCTAATAGCAATATTGAATAATAATATAATACATAAGGTTTATCTGATGTTTGTTTAAATTTAAAACTTGAAGCAAATTCAGTTTTCATTAAAAAATGTATTTAGATGGAATAATTGATGGATGTTAGACATGGTATAATGATAATTGGAGAAACAATGTGTGGAAAATCATAATTAATTAATGTGTTAGCATATAAACATAATTATATAGTACATAAGATAAATCCTAAGGCTCTATAAATTGATTAATTATTTGGTAAATTGGATAGAAACACAAAATAATTTTATGATGGAGTTATACCCATAATATTTAGATAATAGATTAATTAACTTATAGTTTTTGATGGACCAGTTGATACATAATGGGTAGAGAATTTAAATACAGTTTTGGATGATAATAAAAAATTATGTTTAACATCTGGAGAAATTATTAGATTATATGATAGGACATAAATTATATTTGAAACATCTGATTTATAATAAGCATCTCCAGCAACAGTTACTAGATGTGGAATGTTATTTATGGAATAATTATAATGGAGAGTAATTTTGGATAATTAAAATTTTAATGATACTATGTAAAAAAAAGCATTATGGTTATTTGATTGTACATTAGGTTTTTTGTAAGGTAAATATTATGTATCATGTACAAATGCCTAATTAGTTTAATAATCTTTAAAGATGATGAAAACATTTAATTATAGAAATGAAGATTAACAAATAAATGTATTATTATTTTGTATTTTATGGGTTATTGGAGGAATATGTGATGAAAATCAAAGAAAGACTTTTAATTCTATGATTATGAAATTGATTACAGCCTCAAATGATGTAATCTAATAATTCTCTATTAAAAATCAATATTAATATGAACCTTAGGCATTACATTTAAGATTTATGGAACCTGTTAATAAACCAAATTTATATGATTTCTATTTTGATATCAATAAAAATTGTTGGCTCTTTTGGAATGTAGATTCTCAATAATCATAAATTAATTAATCAAAATCATTTGATAATCTTTATATAAAATGTATAGACACAATAAAAACTTAATTTTGGATTAATTAAAGTCTTTAATAAAAAATTAATTTAATTTTGATTGGATAAACTGGATCTGGTAAGACAATCTAAATTTAATAGACAAGATAATATTTTTAGAACCATGCTTAATTATAATTGACATTTAGTGGATAAACATAAATCAATTATATATAATAATTGATTGAAAATAAGATTAGTTAAAGAAGATGTAAAGGACATTATGGTCCTGAAGAAAATAAAGCAGTTTGCTCAGTTTTTATTGACGATTTATCTATGAATGAATAACCAAATGAATTAATTAGATAGCATATTGATACAAATGGATGGTATGATATAGAGACAAAAGAATTCAAACATCTTGAAGATACTATGTATATTTGTGCCACTTAAAAATAAGTTAATTAAAGATTTATGAGACATTTCATGTTATTATATGTACCATAATATTCTCATGAATCTTTAATAAAAATATTTAATTCATTAAATTAATGGATATTAAATTAATGGGGTTAAAAACAATTAGTAAATAATGCAATAATAAAAATGAGTAATCTTATTGTTAATAGTACAATAAGATTATTTAATATTGTTAAATAAGAATATTTAGCAACACCTTCTAAATGCCATTACATTTTTAATTTAAGAGATGTTTAGAAAGTTTTTAAAGGAATATATTTAGGAGATATAAGGACAATATAAAAAGATAGAGATTTAGTTAATTTATGGTAAAACGAATGTCAAAGAGTATTTTCAGATAGGATGATAGAGAATGAAAAATTCAATCAAATACTATTAGATTTAATATAATAAAATATGAAAAAAAATTATGAAATTAAGTAATTATATTATACAAATATTATTCCAATTACAATTGAAAATTAGAATTATTCAAAAATTTACACAAGTGTTGATCAATAAGTTTTAAGAGAATATTTGAATTCTAAACTTGATGAATATTAAAAGTTAATTTAAGATAATAACATAGTCTTATTTGAATATGCTATAAATCATATAGTTAGAATTATTAGAGGATTAGAATTTGGAAATATGTTATTAATAGGATTAACTGGTAGTGGTAGATAATCTCTTTCAAATTTGAGTTCATATATATTATATGGTAAAGAAATGAATAATTATACAAATGATAAAGATGAATTATAATCTATTATAAGATAAGCAGGATTAGAATTAAAAAATACAATAATTTATGTTAATTGCAATTAAATAAATGATTTTAATTTAGAATAAATCTGTAATCTTATTAATTTTGGTGAAATGTAGAATTTATATACAACAGAAGATAAAATGAAATTAATAGAAGATTTAAATGAATATCATATGAATTATCCTTAATTTGTTAAATAAACACATCAAAATCTACACTTTATTTTAAGTATAAATCCAAATGGTGAATAATTTAGAAATAGGATTCGATTATTTCCTACTTTAATTAATAATACAACTATTGATTGGTTTGCGGAATGGCCATAAGAAGCATTAATAGAAACATAAGAATAATATGACATAGATGTATTAAATGTATTTAGTATTATAAAGAAGGAAAGTTAATAATATTGTAAACAAATAAAAAATCAATAACCATATCTTTAAATTTATTAACCTTATTTTTTAGAATTCTTAAAACAATATAAAGTTTTATATTCATAAAAATAGAAAGAAACAGATAAATTTATATAAAGATATACACATGGTGTTGATAAGATTTTATAAACAGAATCAGATGTTACATTAATGAAAGCAACTTTATAAGAATTACATCCAAAATTACATAAATTAACTCTTGAAAATTCTCATTTACTTATTAATCTCTAAAAAAAACAGAAAGAAGCAGATTTAAAGAAATAGTAATGTGAATAAGAAGAATATGAATGTACTTAAGAAAAATTAAAAGCTGATTAATTAAAATAAGAATGTTAAGATGAATTAGATAAAGTTTTACCAATATTGGCTGCAGCTACATCCGCATTAGAGAAAATCACAAATGAAGATATGATTTAATTGAAATCTTTCTAGAAACCACCTTTAGCAGTCTCATTAGTAATGGAAGGAATGTGTTATATATTTGATGAATAAGTAAAGTGGAAACAAAAGGAACCTGGATCTTAAGAAAAAGTATAAGATTTTTGGGAACATGCAAAGAAAAATTTACTTAATGATAAATTAATTAAAAGAGTCAGAGATTTCAAAGAGGAATAAATAAAAGCCATAACTCCTGCTAGAATTTAAAAAATAAAGGGACTTCAATTTGATGATAAAGTATTTAATGCTTCCAAAGCTGCAGGAAATTTAAGTTTATGGATTAAAGCTGTTGTTGATACATTTGAAGCATATTTAATTGTTGATCCTAAATAAATTCTATTAAAAAATGCTATTTAGTAATTATAAATTACTGAAATAGCATTAAAGGAAAAGATAGATGCTTTGAAAGAAATCTTAAGATTTTTAAATGTACTACAAAATGATTACAATTAAGCTAAATTAGAAAAAGATTAATTATAAGAAGATGTTAATAAATGTTAAATATAACTTGAAAGAGCAGAAAAATTAATTAGTGGATTAATTTAAGAAAAAGATAGTTGGAGACAAAAAGCAAATCAATATAAATCAAATAAATAATTTTTATAAGGTGATTGTATATTATCTAGTGCAATTATTACATTTTTTGGACCATTTCCACTTGGATTTAGAGAATCAATTTTAGAATAACTAAAAATTGAATTATAGAATATAACATTTAGTTCCAATTTTTCATTATTAAATACTTTATGTAATCAAATAATAGTTGGATAATGGATTAATTAAATGAAATTACCTAATGATTAAACATCTATTGATAATGCTATAATCATTTAAAATTCAACTAAATGGGTTTTATTAATTGATCCTTAAAATTAAGGATATTAATGGTTATTAATGTGGAATGAAAAATTGAATTCTAAATTTAATTTTGAAAATTGTATGTAGATTGGTCATCCAGTATTATTGTAAGAACCTGATGAAAGTTAAATTCCATTCCCTTGTGGTACTTATGCAAAATTAAATGATAAAAAGATTGAAATGCATCCAGATTTTAGGCTTTTTATATAGAGTAAGAATCCCTTATACAGTCCAGAAATTTCTATTCACTTGAAATATATTAATTTTGAAGTAACTTAAGAAGGATTGGAAGATTTCTTATTAAATTATATTGTAAGTGTGGAAGAACCTTAAAAAGAAGAAATTAGATAAAAGAATATAAGAGATTATTATGAAAATAAAAATAAATAATAATAAACAGAGGATTCAATACTAAAATTATTACATGGAACACATGGTAATATTTTGGAAGATGAAACTTTGATTCTAACTTTATAGAAATCAAAAAATGAATAAATAGAAATAGAAGATAAATTAAAAAAAGCAGAAAATGACAAAGAAACTTTTTAAAAGATATCTAATTAATACAAGAATATTACAAAAAAGATTTCTATTATATATTTAGTTATTAGAGATTTATAGAAATTGGAATTTGTTTATGTTTGGTCTTTAGAAAAAATAATTCAACTTTTTGATTAATCAATTAAAGCTTTTAAATCTGTTTCTTAAAATTAATAATTAGAGAAAAATAAATTTATATTTCAACATTTTACAAAATTACTTTATACTTTTATATGTTAATCACTCTTAGAAAAAGATAAACTTACATTTACTACTATGTTATTCCTTAAAATCTTATTAATTGAAAATATTATTACTCAAGAGGAGATTAATTTCTTACTTAATTAACATACTAATTACACTTTAATTTAAAGTTCTACTTCATGTCCTGAATATCTTACATAATAATAATGGAATTAATTAAATGATTATGCCTTTTAATTTAAAAATGATTAAATAGTTCAAAAATTAACTACTCATTATTTTGAATTTGTAAATAATAATTATGATTTAGATCTTAAACCATTTCATTTATTAATAATAACTAAAATAATTAAACCATATTAATTCATATTTTAACTACATTAAACTATTGAATTTTATATTGGATAACATTTTACAATTATTCCATAATTTAATATTTAACCTTTATAAATTTAACCAAATACTCCTATATTATTTATTTTATCTTCTGGATCAGATCCATTAAATTTTATTTTAAGAGAAGCTGGATCAGAAAAAATCAAATTGTAAACGTTATCATTAGGATAAGGATAAAATTAAATAGCTGAAATAGGAATCTAAAAAGCAATTGAAGAAAATTAATGGATTATTTTATAAAATTTACATTTAGCGAAAAGTTTTATAAAATAAATTGAATAAATATATGAAAATTAATTATAATAAGTATAAAAGGATTCAAAATTTAGATTATTTTTAACAACAAATCCAATTGATACATTTTCAATTAAATTATTATAGAAATGTGAAAAATTTACATTTGAATATCCAAAAGGATATAAAAATAATTTATTAAGAATATATTCATCAATTGAAGAAAAGAAATTTAATGAAAAACCATTATAATTTAAATGTTAACTATTTGGTTTAGCTTAATTTCATGCAATAGTATTAGAAAGAAGAAAGTTTGGAAATATAGGATGGAATTGTTATTATGATTTTTCTTAAGCTGATTTAGAAATATCATAAAAGTAATTATTAGATTATGATACAGAAGGATTGAAATATTTGATAAGTGAATTGAATTATGGAGGAAGAGTAATTGATAATAATGATAGATTATTACTAAAAATATTGTTAGATAAATATTTAACTGTTGAAGATTCTGAATATCCAATGATGTTAAATGATTATCTAGATTAGATTAATTTATTATCATATTAAGATGATAATCAATTATTTGGTTTACACTTAAATGCTTAAATAAATTAAAAGATAAATGAAACAAATGAATTAAATGGAAAGTTATGCAATATTAGTAGTGTATTGAATATAAATGATTAAGAAGAATAACTTAAATTATTGATTTCTTCTATTTCTTTAAATGTTCTATAATATGATAATTTAGAACATCAATATACTACTCCTTTAAATACAATATTGATATAAGAATGTTCTAGATTTAATAAATTAATAATTCAAATAAAAAATGATTTAGATTTTATTTTAAAATCACTTGATGGATTAGAAGTTATGAATTAAGAAATGGAACAAATATGTTATCATCTTTTATCAGGAGTAATTCCATCTAGTTGGTTATTAAAATCTTATTTAACAACTAGTAATCTAATTAATTTTGTTTAAAATTTATAAGAAAGAATAAAATATTTTTAGAAATGGATTGATAATGGAATTCCAGAATTAGTAAATATTTCTTATTTTTTCTATCCTTAAACATTTTTAACAGGTGTTAAATAAGATTATGCAAGAAAGAATTCTATTCCAGTAGATACCTTGAATTTTGAATTCAAAATTTGTAATCATAATTTTGAAGGTTATCTAATTGAAGGATTATTATTTGATTAATGTTAATGGGATGAAGATTAACAAAATATTGTTGAACCATAAATAAATGTATTATATTCATAAGTTCCTCTTATATCCATCAACCTAACCACTCAATTATAATAATATCAAGAATATTTACAAATTCCAGTTTATAGTACTAAAAGTAGAAATAAAAAGATAATGGATATCCCATTAAAAACTAATGAATCACCAGAATTTTGGATTATTAGAGGAGTAGCCATTATTTGTTCAAACTGAATATTGATATAATATTATTTAATTAATTGTTAAATAAAATATGCATTTCTAAAGAAGAGGAATTATGAATTATTCTTACTCTCTTGGAGATATTGTTGGACGTGGATTCAGTTCAATTGTATACAAGGGTATAAATGATCTTACTTAAGAAGAAGTAGCCATTAAGGTATATTAAATAAGTTAATCAGGTTATTTAAAGATAAATAAGTGATTAAATACCACTTATTCAAAATGAAATAACAATACTTTCAAAATTGAAAGGAAATTATATACTCAAACTATATGATTATTTTTACACTAAAAACAATATTTATATAATAACTGAATTATGCAAATAGGGTGATTTATAATCATATATAAAGAAACACGGTAAATTAAATTCAAATATTGCTATACAAATTATAATTTAAATTATATATGGCATCGCATCTATGTAATCAGAAAGTATATCATATTTAATATAATAAGACATAATTCATAGAGATTTAAAACCATAAAACATACTAATATCTGATAATACTATAAGAATAGCAGATTTTGGATTTGCAAAATAAATGTCACACTTAGGATCTGAAATGAATGTTGGAACTCCTTTATATATGAGTCCTGAGACTTTAATAAGAAATTAATATCATTTAAAAAGTGACATTTGGAGTTTTGGTGTAATGGCTTATGAAATATTATTTGGTATTCCTCCTTGGAGTGCTTAAAATGAGAGAGATCTAATTATTGAAATAACAAGAAATTAAGTTAATATTCCAGATATACCAGAAATACCTGAATATATAAAACAATTAATTCAAGGTTGTTTGGTTTTCGATTTAAATTATCGATCAAGCATATCTGATATCCTTAACAGTAGATTATTCGTTAAACAATAGAAAAAAAATAATTTTAAAACTGTTAAAGTTGATAGATTGGCTGCACCTGTTATTCCAAAAATTACAAAAACTGATTCTGACTAATTTATCATAATTGATAATACAATACAAGGATATTAGAATTATTTTAGTGTAATTAAATTCATTTTATCTGAAAATTACAAATTAATTTCACCTTGGTTAAAAGAGAAATTATGTATATTATCAGCAAAACATTTGACTATTTTATCAGCAGCACTTATTAATTTAATATCTTCTGATTCAAATAATGGAGAAAATAAAATAAAATTATAAGGATTAGATTAAGTCTGTTAAGATAACTCAAAAATTTAATTAATTTTTTAGAATCAATTAAATAAGGTTAGTAGTATTCCTGAATTTTCTAATGATATTATAAAATATGATTAAGAATTTTCTCGTTTAATAAATAATTTAACTAAAGAAGGATTATTATCTTATATTAAATTGAGTATTTAAGAGTTGAATCATGATTTATATACAAAAATAAAACTTTAGAATGTGATACAATATACAAAAGAGTTGTAAATTTTGAAAACATTATCGTAATATTATGAAATATTATATAAATATGGATTATTGCCTTAATTTAATTAAAATGATTTACTATAAAGTTTAGATTAAATAACTCATAATTCAAAATATCTTATTGAATATAGACATTTTTTAGAATTAAGATATGAAATTAAATAAATTTTGAAATGATATTACTTTATGTATTAATAATATATAGTAATCAAAAGAATCTTTTTTAATATTCATCTTTAATTTTTTTTGCATTTCTTAGACTTCCTAATAATTGTGTAACAATATCTTCTTTCTTTTTATTATTTTAAGTATTGAGATATTTAGTATTTATAACTGATTAAAGAGGAGACTATAGTTAAACCTTATTTAAAATTTATGAGTTTTTTCTGATTAGATTATGTGCATTATCTCTAATTTAATAGTAAAAAAATAATACATCAATTAAATAATTTGTTTTCCATCTTTTGTATTGGAATTAGTATTATTTTCTATAATATATTGACTTTCAGCTAATTAAATAGTTGTAGACTATTTATGAATAGGTTGATCTTTTTTAATACATTATTAAGATTTAGTATTTCGTTATTTATGTTTTTAAGGAGTAATTAATTCACAAATATCTATTTGTTATTATTGATCTATATTATTCAATTTACAAGAAGATCTAAATTCAGTTTGATATTCAGATAAATAGGGTTATTTATAGTCATTTTTTAAAGTTTCTTATCGAGAATTGCTTTATTCAATAGATTTAAAATGTTCAGTTTGACTGAATTTAGTAGCTGATTATGATTCATATTTATGTTAAACAGATTTATTGATTGATTTGTTTAATGATTTTTATCGGACTTTTTCAATGATTCTATTGGCTATTGTTTCTGCTTCTTTCTCAACATCTGTAGATATGTTTTCTTTCATGAAAATGTCACCACTTATTTTATAATCTTTATCATCTAGTTTTAAGTCAAATTACAAACGGCCATTTATTTACATAATTTTTAATATTTTATTTATATAAATGAACAAAGAAGAAAAATAAGTACGTGTATATGCTGATGGAGTCTATGATATGTTTCATTATGGACATGCACGTTAATTAGAATAATGCAAGAAGCTCTTTCCAAATACTTATTTGATAGTGGGAGTGTGTTCTTAAGAAGATGTTGAGAAATTTAAAGGAAAATCTGTTATGGATGGTTATCAAAGAACTGAAAGTGTAAAACATTGTAAATGGTAAGATTATATTTATATTTTTAAGGGCTGATGAAGTTATATATCCTGCTCCATGGATAATCGATGAGAAATTCCTAAATGATCATCGTATCGATTATGTTGCTCATGATGATATTCCATATACAACTGCTGATGTTGATGATGCATATGCTTTATGCAAAAAACTTGGAAAATTTAAAGTAATATAAAGATACATTTATGAATAGGCAACAAAAAGAACTGAAGGTATATCAACTACTGATATTATTGGAAAGATCTTAAAAGATAGACATAAATATTTAAAAAGGAATATTGAAAGAGGTATGAGTAGACAAGAATTGGGTATGGGATTATGGGAATATTATTAATTAAAATATGATTGGTTATTTTGCTAAAGAAGAAAAAGAAAGCAAGATTGATTATATTGGTATAATGTATGTAATATATCAATGTTTTGTTTATTATTACTTTCTCATGGCTCTATAAAGATTTTAGACAAGTTCAATCTTTCTTTTTCCTCTTCTATTTGTACCCAATCTCTTAGCTGCCAATTTTCCTGCCTTCTTTAAATCTTTTGGTTGATTTGTTTTGAATAATTCAATAATTCTCTTTTCATATGGGCTCAATCCTGCTACTTCTTAGATGACTTTTCTGACAGAAAGCACTCTCTTACCTAATGTTCCTTTTCTTTATGATGGTCTTCTTCTTAATTGCTTCTTTGTTAAAGAGGATGTTATAAATCCTCTATTTAAACCAATAGCTATTCCTGTTCTGCCCATTTATTTTAAAAATGATATTTTTATTTTTAAATATTAATCATTCAATCAACTCATTATTTTAGATCTCGAATTGTTATTGTAAATCCTATTCATATTGTAATTTCTCATTATTCCTACTCACAATATTCATCTTCTTTAATCTAAGCACATTCAAAAACCTTGAAAATTATTCTCCATTTTTAATACCCAATTCATCCAACATCTTTTTCCAATATTAATAATTACTATTATCCTATTCATTAATAAATATAATTACATCTCTAATATAAATTTCTGGATTATTTGGTTTTCGAATCATATTATTAAAAATGAAATAACTCACTAAATACTTATCAAATTCTTCTAAATTATTAATATCAACCAATTTATCAAATAATTTCTTACTTAATTAAGTGTCTATTTAAATATAAGTATCCTCATCTGCATTAAGATCATTATGATTTTTTCTCATAAAATCATCTCTTAATTTATGTAATTAATCATTTAGTTTCCTTGTCATATACTCCTTAAATTACATTTTAACCTTTTTATCCTTTATTGGTATTTTTGCTTATTTCAACTATTTCAATTGAACTACCTCATCAAATAGCATATCTTCATAATTTTTTTATTTTCTAGTTGTTTTAGTCTCATTCTTAATATCAATCGCTTATTTATTGTTCCTATTGTAGACATAATAAGAATGCAATCTTTCACTTCTCATTTTTAAATACTCTAAAATGAATCAATCTCTATATTACTCTCTTCAATTATGCTTTTCTAATTCTCATCCAATTTACACAATAATTCTTCTACATGCTCTACACAAAATAACAGCTTCTCATCCTGAATTTTTAAATACGGTTTCATGTATATGTGTATACATTCCATTGCCTCCTTATTCATAATCCCTCCATTCACCTTCAAACATCCTATATGAAATGCTTCCTAACATCCCTTATATTGACATTCTAATTGAAAACCATCAATCTTTTAACAATAACGACACTTGTAACCTGTTTGAAGATCTATCTCACAAGTGTATAAATTATAACTTTAAGGATTTTAAACTAAAAATGGGTTCCATTTCAAACAACTTGAATGAGCCTTAATTTATTTAAATTATATTTAATACCCATTATTGTTATCCATTTATTTGAACTAATTCAAGTATTTAGTATTATTCTGGACAAAATTAACAATTGATTTATTAATCTCTGTCATCATTTAATGCCAAACATTTCTGGCAATACCATTTTGCTCCTAAATTTACAACATGATAACACTCTTAATGAACAGTAACATCACATCCATCACAAAATATTATTTAGTTTTACTCTGTATAATCTTATTCTTCACAAATTAAACAGAATATATTTTCATCTTTTATATGGTCGATATTCTAATATATATTATATAAGTATACCATTTTATGTGTATGTTTTTCTGATCTGCTATCGTCCATTTGTTAATTATTTATTATTGCTTACTCATTTTATTAGTTGAAATACTTATTTTATATAACTAAATATTTGAGTGATTTATAATATTGAAAATATCAATTATTTTTTAATAATATTTTCTATTAACATATATATTAAATCTATTGTCTTATTATTCATTTCTTTTATCTAAAACTTTCTGCATATATATATTTTCCTACTATCCATAAGAATTAATGAATAAAAATTTCATTATATTTGATACAATCATAGGTATAACATTAATCAATGATTTAATCAAGCTAGTGCCTATAATGGATTATTAATATATGAAATACAATCTAAAGTATTTATTTTTAAGTCTACAATCTTATGAAAAAATCCAAATATGATTGGAACTTAAAAGATAAATCAAAATTAGTATTGAAACGTGGTAGTTTAGCATGAGACGTTTAATATCAATAATTAGATTCTCAATAAAACAATATAAAAAGGTATTCATAATGTTATTATTTACTGGCACATCAAATATTAATTATAGATCCAAATTAGAGAACATTGAAAGCAATGATTCTTATTTTTTTTAATTATTTGGTACCTGATATTTTTTATTATACAGGGAAAGGTTTATAAAAAAAAAGAAATAAGAAATTCAAGATAAATCATCCATCGAAGAATTTGGAAAAATTGAAAATGGAAATGACAGAACTAAAAAAAATCATGAATGAAAATATCAAATAATTTTTTATAGAGATGAAAAATTGCAAGGTTACGTCTAATTAGTAATATTTAGACATGAATTAAAAGACTAAATCATTGAAGGAAGACTCAAAATTAGTAATAATATCAATAGATATTTTTTCAGTTTAAGGATTAGACTGTAGTATTATAATGGTCAATCTGATTTAAAAAGAATTCTGTTTGATTTATTTTAGGAGGTTTTTGATCTTCTTATTTTTTTAAATTTATAGAATACAACTATATATAGGTTATGTTTAAGAAATTATTTAATTTTTATTAATTATTATTATATATATAACTCTAAATCAGATTTATTCATTGTCTTTTTATTTATTCCAAAAAGTCTTGTTCTAAATGTTTTATAGTGAAATTAACTAATTGTATACTATGATTATTAGTTTCAATTATTTTAGTATTTTATATTTTTAGTTATTAAATTAGATTTCTAAAGATTTCTAAATTTTCATTGGTATTTTCTTATATCAATATAAGATTCTCCCATTTACTTATTAAAGTTTCTATTAATTTTATTTAAAATACATAAAAATGTGTGTAATTCATTTTAAAAGTAATCTCTTGCTATTTGATGAGTGACTTTACTATTTTCAAAAAAAGACATAGCCTCATATTCATCTAATTATTCCTCTTATAATTTGATTATAATGTTTAAATGTAAATCTAGAAGGACATTTTTTACCATAGAAATCAAGTTAATAATTTCAAACTACAAATGATTTATCATAATATTACTTTATCTTACTAAAAATTTCTCGATTTAAATAGCAAATCCACATTTTTTAAGTACTACTAAATTTCTTAATATTCATTTTAATATTGAAATAATCCAATAACTGCCTTAGATTCTATTATTTCTAATAATCCATATAATTTATCTGCAGTTCCAATTTCCAAATTTTTATCTATCTCTTTAATAAGATAGCTTATTTCTTTAAGCTTTTATTCTATTTTACTCCTGTCTTTGGTTTATTTTTTTAATTTTTCAATTTCTTTGATATCTTATTCTAACATCTTCTCTTTGTCTTTGATCATATTTTTGAAGAAATTGACATCATTTTTAAGATCCTCATTCAAGAATTTAATCATAGCTTAATAGTTTTGTAATTCAGAATCTACCTTAGTTTAACAAAGATTAAAGACCTAAAAAATAGAAAGATGATGCTTACTTATTATTCAAATAACTCCAAGAATTCATTGTTTTCTGTTTCATAAGTTAGTTCTTCTTCTACAAATTTAAACATCAACTATATAGACTCAAAAGCGACTCTTTGATCAATTCCTTAATCTTATTTCTTTATCCAACTCATGATTTTAGGAAAATATCGTTCTAAATTAAATTAATATGGTCTTACCTGTAGCAGTTTATCCTATCAATGAAATCTAATTTGTTAAATAAAGTAAGGATAAAAGAATTATTATTATTGACATTTATTTTTATTGTTTTTTCTAAAATAACGAATGTATTTATTTACACGATAACAACTTAATAAAACTGAAATTATTAATATAAAAAGTTAAATTTTGCTATTTAATTAACAGACATATTAATACTACTCCATAAGAATATTTAATCAATATAAATTATAAATCATTATTAATAGATGATTTGGTATTTAGGTATATATACAATTATATAATATAAGCTGAGTTATTGGGATTCATAAAGATAGACAGAAACATTAAACTTGAATAATATTAGAATCATCCATCTTATGCAGGTAATTTCATTAGATTTGGATTTGATGGAATTGTTGGGGAATATGTATCAACTGTGTGCTAAACATTTTTATTTGCATTAATTTTATACTTTACCCTTTCTTGTTCATCATATTATTACTTTTTCAAAAAGAATAAACAACTTTATTTGCCAAAATTAAATGCTAAATTCTATATCTTCTATGATATCAAATGGTCAATCATAAACATGTTTTTTGAGACATTCCTTGTCTCTATAATAAGAGTTGCATAACCTAGATTTAGTATAATGTATTACAATATAAGTGATTATGGATATTGGTATATTCCTATAAGTATAATTTTACATGTTGTATATGATGAAACATTGACGTAAATTATTAATATATTCACTAGATATTGGGTACATAGATGGCTTCATACATACCCTTATTTATACATTAAATTACATAGAATACATCATTTTTCAAAAGACATTACACCATTTAGCGGATTTGCATTTCATCCATTAGATGCTTTTGCTTAAGCAGTACCTTTATTTACATCTTGTTTTCTCTTTCCAATTCACATGAATTTATTCTTATTCTTTGGTCTATGTACAACTTCTTGGGTAAATTTAAAGATTTAATAAATTAAAGGCAATTTCAATTCATGATAATGTTCCTGCTTTACCATTAAAATTTTTGTTATATAGTACTCACCATACAATTCATCACGAACCAGGTTTAGGTGGAATGAAGAATTTTGGTAAATTCACATCCATTTGGGATAGAATTATGGGAACTTATGAAGAGCCAGATAGAATCAACTTTGGATGGAATTAATAAAAGTAATAATTAGAAAAACTCAAAAAACTCAATGATTTATATGAATCTATCTTACCTAGTAATCTAAATAAAATTAAGAAAAATAAATGAAATAAATAGATGAGTTTAATTTAAATTATATAAATTATTCATTAATCATCACCATTTTAATCAAAGTTTACAAAATAAGTAGATATTGTAGTATTATTTTAAGACAAATAGACTTCTTAAGCAAATTCAAAATCGAAAATACCAATACATTCTTCATCACTTTCAATCAAATCCTTTGTAGCTTAACTTACCATTATTTTGCCTTCTTATCCTTTCGATTCCATTTTATTGGCTGTAGTAACATCCTCTCCATAAATATCATATCTAACTACATCTGTCCCTACAACACCTCCTATAACTCTCCCAGTATGTGCTCCAATTCTCATGTTCAAATGTTAAAACTGAGGATCTTTATTTATCTATTAAATTATCTATATCATTTTTAATCCAAACAACACAACATTTATTGCCTATTTATTATAAAACATATAAATTTACTTCACCAACAGGATCTCTGTTATTAGCATCTATAATACCCATACAAACATAGCAATCCCCAATAGTGTATAATTTGTATACTTAAAATTTTTAACAAGCTTCATCAAATTGTTAAAATAATATTCTAAGCATATTTACTACTTATTCTGGTTCTACTGAACTTGAATATTTTGTAAATCCTGCAATATCAGCAAACAGAATGGTACAATTTTGAAATACATCAGTGAAGTTATCTGTTGTAGTTATATCTGTTGAAAAAAATCTACCTATTATGTGTTATGGTAATAAATATTATAATATTTGTGTTTATTTAGCATTTTTAGATTCAAATTGCGAAAAACATTAATAATTTTCAGCTAGTATCTTTAATTCCTTTTCTTGAATTATTAAACTTGATAATAATATGCAAATTAAGAAGAGAATTATATCCAAAATATATTCATTAAATACTAGATTTATTAAGATTAATATTGTATATAGTACAGATAATTTTATTCGATCCTTTTTATTGTAAATCTATAAATAGAATAAATTCAAATAAACAGAAGTAATTTAACTTATTTAAAATATTAATTCCATTTCAGAGTTATGAGCATTTATGATTAAAATACTATTTATTGAAAATATTAGGAAATATAAACCTATTAGTAATTTCAAGATAAATATCTTTTTTATATTGTAAATAATTATTGATAATACTAAACAAATTACTGACTAACAAATAAATATTACTTATAATTCTTAATTTATTGAAGTTAATAAGTAATAAAATAAATTCTTGATTATCAATAAAATTATTATAAAAACAATAAAAATCTTTACCTGTTTTAAATCAAATTCTTTGTATTAATCATAAATTGAAAAATATTAATCGTGACTATCACTTTTATAGTTAGATTCTTAAATACCATATTTTTAAATTTCAACTTTTTCTTCCATATTTTTCAAATCATATTCATTTTAATAAATACTATCTTCAATATCTATTAGTTTTCTTATCTCTAATTCATCCATATGAGATTAAAGATTCAATTCTTTTGGTGTTTTATGAACTGATAAGGATTCAATTCTATCTATAAAATCCATTTATTTTTCAGCAATTATTCTTGTTCTTTTTCTTTTTACAGGATGCAATTCAACTTTTACACTTTCTGCCAATTTTTAACCACTAGTACCCATTCCTACAATTTAATCTTATTCAGGCAAATTTGTTTTTGTACCTGCTCTTTTATACACTGATTTTCTCGATTTCATGGGATTTAATTCAAATGCTAAATTTGAAATTCTTTTTGTATATTAACCTGCTGCAGCTCCTCCTAAAGGTATACTAGATTTTAATCCATCACCTTATATATTATTAATATTAAACTTTTCTTTTTCTTCAAATTTATTGTTATTATTAATGTTATTATTATTGTTATTATTGTTATTATTGTTATTATTATTATTATTATTATTATTATTATTATCTTAATCTTATTCATTAGGTGTAAGTAATCCCATTTAATATGATGAATTAAATACTGATCTTGATTATGCTCTTATCATTGGCTATATAGATTATGGTGATGAAATTTATATTAATTTAGTATTTACATTCATATTGGTATTTTAGATAGTGACTGGTGCAATATCTTATTTTTCTTCATTAATAGAGACTTTTTTTAAGATAGTTTATTGTTTACTCTTCAAATTTTCAGATATTTTTTTAATCATCTAATTTTATAAATGAGGATTAGGAGATTTAGATACATTATCAGCAACTTTTAGAATTGCTTACTGTTATTTTTTATTCCCTTTAATAAATTAATATGTTTTAATAGTTCCTTTGCCTTTCGCTTCTACCTCCCTTAATTTAAATTAATATTTTTTATTAGAGACTTTTTCATAGGCTTATTAGCTTAAAGTAACATTACCTGGTTCTGAAGTTGAACAAACTCTACTAGTTGTATTGACTGTATCTCCTATTAATGAAAATTATGGCTTATGAGCTCCAATCACACCAGCTATAACTCTTCCATAATGAATACCAATTTTCAGAATTACGGCTTAATTATCTCCATATTTCATAGTTTTAACACTTTCCTGCATTTACAGAGCTGTATCTAATATTCTTTCTGTAGGATTTAAATTATCTGAAATATTATAGTCTTTTAATCCACCTGCTGCCATATAGGTCTTACCAACAGTTTCAATCTTTTATAATTCATTTGCTTAACAAAATTAATCAAATTAACGATATAAATTGTCTAAAAATTCAACAACCTTGATTTATTCATTTCTGATTATATCATCAAAATCATAAATATCACAAAATAAAATTGCAACATCTCCTTAATCTTCTGATATTTATATCTATCCTTTTGACATTCTTTCTTTAATGAATCGTGGCATCAACAAGCCTAAAGCATCATTTAGCTTTTTATATTCATCTAATAATTTGTTTTACAATATATATTAATATCTTTATAAGAATTCAGTTTTATAAACTTAAAATATTAATGGAACACAGACTTCTATTAAAATTAAGGCATGATTTAGAATGTGATATGGATTAGTATAATTATATATTCCTACCATCAACATATCTAAAATAGTTGAAATGAAACACACGCAATAATATCCATAAATCCCTAATAATGGATGATGAGTCAAAGAAATTGATATTAAAAACATTAAAGTTTCATTTATTTCAGTATCTAATAAGATATGCAATACTATGAAAAATGCAAATCTCAAACTAATTAGAACTAAAGGTTTAAACTTAGAAATATGTATCATAGGCAATAAACTCATCACTACAAACTAAATAATAGAAATCACTAAATAAGCAATCTAAAGATTATTGATTTATTAATAGATTCTAATTCCAAATATAGTTAATTCATATATATAATAAATGTATTTATTTTAAGGTTTGAGCCAATTAAGAAAATCTTTTTCTGTTCTTTTATCTGTAAATTTTTAGTCTTTTTCCATTTAATCAGTCATTTGTTAATCTCCCTTAATCTTTTTTAGAAGTAGGTCATCCATAAAATCCTTTCCTTCAAATAATTTCTCAATAAACAACTTGGCCTAATTTGATTATTATTAAGTTAAGTATTTTAATGATTGGCTTAACTTTTCTATTTCAATTTAATTCTCTATGTGAAATTGAATATCATTTGGAGACGGGAAGCAAAATTCTGTAAGTATTAACACTTCTTATATTACAAATGAGATTGATAGAGCAAATATTAATCCAAATATCCAAAAAATAAAATTTAATCTAGATAATTAATAGATAATATCTGTAATCACAAGACTATATATCAATAATAATAAAGATAATAATATTATGTAGGAGAATATAAGTTTTAGCAACTTGCCTAAATCATAGTATGAATTTAATTGAGTCATAATGTATTTTGACTTTTCCATTAATTCAAGAATGATGAAAATAAAAATAGAATAATTTTCAAGTTCTTAATTTTAGAATATATCAAATATATTAAAACAAATCTCAACTAAAATAGAATCCAGTAATGCTATAAAGATGATTTTGATTATTTTAACATAAATATTACTTTATTTTATCAACTCTAATCTCTTTCTATATATTTCAAATTAATTTTTTTCAAATGTTTTTTAATGCAGAAAATTTTCATAATTGAGAATACATGTAACAACATTGCTTGGAACTAAAACAAAGAAAATTAATTCGTCTAATGTATAAAATGGATTTTAATAGTCTATCATATAAGACAAAAAACCAAATAAAAAACATCTATAAATCTATATTAAAATGATAGATTCATAATTTATGTAAGTGGTTGGGCAATAAAAAAATAATAATTTAAGCATTTAATCAGTCTTAGCTATTAAAAAATTAGGATTAGAAAGTGCACATTATGGATCTTAATTTTATAAATTAAAAGAATAATTAGATTTGTAAAAGAAATATTAATTGTCTAATCCTGAGCCTATAGATGCAATATATCTTTCAGTAATTGTAATTAATTTTAAAAGTTTTCCTTTTTATTTTTCATCTAATTGATAAGCTCCTACACCTTATGAAAAATAAAAGAGTACAACAAAATGATATTTTAGATAATCATCTTTTACTATTGCTTCAAGTGTTTCTGCATTAATTATAATAAAGTTTTCAACAAATCTTTATTAATAAACTTCAAAAATATTTGATTTTTCTATTAAATTTTGAATTGATTATCTAAATTTATAATGAATTGTATTAACTTCTAAAAATAAATCAATAGAATTCTTTTCAGTAATATGATATGTTCTTAAAAATGATATTAAATCTTCATATGTATCCATAACAAAACAAGTTTTATAATTATATTTCAAAAGTGTTTAAAACATGATTTCTTAATTAAGATTGTTATTACAAATTTCTTAAGATACTAATTAACTTTTCATTCTTATAAATTACTTCAATCCTAAAATAAAAAATAATTAACTATCTGATTCAATCTATTTATAAAGATTATCTAATTCTTCTTCCCTATTACCATATGTTTCGTTGATAGAATTTAATTTGTTTAAGAATTATTATGTTTACTAGAAATCCAATTATTTTTTTAAATATTTGATTGATTTTTATCCATCCCAAAACATTTCTTCTATAGTCTCATTTATTTAAGGGTATCTTTGGTCATCATAATTCTTTTCACATATTTCTTTCCTAGTGTATAATAAAGCTCCTTCATCTAATTCAAATGATTCAGGATCTTTGACTAGTATAGATAGAGTATTTTATCTATTTTCAGTTGGTTACAATAATGCTATAATATCAAAGATTTTAACAACTCCTTATATAGACACAGCTTTCTTAATTATTTGATCTTATTTGTATTCAACTTTAAAATTATCAATTGTAGCACTTGATATGAATTTATAATCGAATATCTTCACAAAATCTAAAATTGATTCATCAAATGGATTATAATATACATTTTTTATTTTCTTTATTTTCTTATCATAAACACTTTCCACATTATTGCATAATAGTAAAACAATTAAAATTTCATTTGATGTTACATCAGATTTATTCAATAATTTATTAATGAAATCTTATTCATTAAATACATCACCTACTATTTAATCATTACTTAAATCTTATTAAGTTTAAGTTATATTTTTTAACGATCCTCCCTAAGATTTGACATTTGGATTCAATTAACTTTAAGAAAGATGATTACTACTTCTTTATCTCTAAATTTTAGGTGAATTCTTATAAGAAATTATACTATTAGATTATTATTATGGTAGTAATTACTATTGTTAATTAGACTCTTTTTATTGTTAGACTAAAGTATTAGATTGAAATAAGTTTCTTGCACTTTATTTTCTAAAAGAACTATATGGATTTAATTTTGAAGAGTCACCAGGTTATTTTTTAAGATCTTTAGAATCTTTCATTTCTTTTTGTAATAAACTAATTTTCGTTTATTCTTTTAAAAATCCTATTTTTTAAAATATTTTTTTTTCTTCTACAATCCTTAAAGTAGGTTATTATTTTTCAGCAAGTAATAAATCAATATCTTATGTTTTTTATTCATCATATGCTTAAAACCTATTTGTATCTAATAGTAATTTTTCGTAATTATTTTTTTGAGTAGGAGTAGTTTTTTCAATAATTGATTATAATTTTTCATAATTAAAGTAGTATCTACATTTATCATGAATGATTAAGCAAACTCTAACATTCTCTTTTAATATTTTTTAAGGATTTTCAAAAACTAAAACATCTGTTTTCATCAATTCTAAAATATTTTAATTTGATAATTGATTATATCGATAAATATTGAATTAAGTAGGATTTTTCTTGTTTATTGCAAGATTTAATACTGAATTATTTGTTGATCCTACTTTTTACACTTAAATAAGGACTTTCTTATCATATTCCTATAAAATTGGATCAGGTTACTCTAAAAGTTACTCTTACTATTATTAAATTTAATTGGATTTTTTGTCAGGAGATTATTTAATCTCTAATTTATTAAGATTGAATTAATGAATTAATAACCATATTTAATTGATTATAAAGTAATTTTAAGGTAAAAGTAACAAACACATTATAATTGAACTTTGATAATTAGGATATTCATATTATTGTTAACTAATTAACTTTGGAATTAATAGGAAAAAGAAAATTACAACATTTATCAAAAATATATAAAAACTATTCTAATTATAGTGGTTCCAATTATAATATCGATCTCTTTATTAAAAGCATCCATGTCCAACTTATATTGCTATTCCAAATATCCAATCTGTTTGATTCAAAATTTATCCTCTATTAATTATATTTGCATCTGTAAATTAAGTAGCCTTTGGATCGTTTTTCAATTTAATTGTTCCTTATTTACAGCTTTAAAATTATATCCAACCACTCAAATTTATTAAGAATTTAGTCATAATACCTTTAGTTTTAGAAGCCTAATTTATATATGTGCAAGGACAAGGATATTTAAACTTAAAATCAATTAATACTTATTCTTAACTTGACTCTAAAATTAAGATATCTGCTGGACTCTTTTCTCCCTTTTAAAGACAAACAATTTGACCTACTTTTAGTTGCTACCATTCAATTTTCTTTGAAGGAGTTTTATTTTAAGTTTATAACAATTAATCTATATCAGCTAACACTCGACATTACTGTTTATTGATATTTTCTTCAAATTTCCATCTTTATTTTAGATTGTAAAATAGTATCAAGTATGAGAAGGCCATATCCATTATTAAACACATCATTGTGTATAATATTATAAAGAATTCAGACCAGAATAATTCTTGTTAAGAAAGAAAATAAATTAAAGGAAAAATAGGGAGAGTTTCCATTTTGAGTAAAATTCTAACTAATTCTTTGATTACTGTAGATACCTAGATAAAACTAATCATACTTGGATTAATTGAATTTTGTTTGATAAAATCTCGTAATTGTATGTTTTTTACACTATACCATTTGTAAATTCAATCTATTATATGATAATTTGTTACTCTCATGCTTTATAAGTTTTCGAATTCTATATCTTTTAATCTCTATTAATACTTCAATGGAATTTATTTATAGACCTTTTCAATAATCCTATACAGCATAAATCAACTTTTAATATAAAATTAAACAACTTAAGCTTATAATTTGAATTAAACAATAAATAAACTTTAACTATCAAATAGATTATTGATGTATTAACAATAATAATGACATTCTAATAATGTATTTTGTCATCAGAAATTAATTAATTCAAAAAGATTTTTAAAATAGGTGGCTAATTGAAAAATAATTAAGAATAGAAATAATAATGGATAAGAAAGGAAAATTAAAATTATTATGAGATTTTTAAATTTAACAAACAATTATTATTAATAATTATCTTTATTAATAAAAGGGATTTACAATAAATTAACTAGTTAGATATAATATATTGAAAATGATTAGAATATATGTATTCATAAATATAAAATTTATTAACTGTTTAAAAAATTCATAATTTCAAAATTCTTTTTTTTATTAATTAACATATATATAATTTTTCAAAAATGGATCAAGAGAGGAAGTTTTTATTATTAAAGAAGAGATTGGATGCTTTGCATTATTGTTAACCCTTAGGAATAGACTCTGTTCCTTTAGTTGAAAGATTACTAAATGATTTAGTTAAAACAACTGAAGGTTTTCAATAATTAAAAAAATAATTGGAAGAAGTATATTGATTTTATAAGAAATAGACTAAAATTAATGCAGCTAAGTTTGAATAATTATTATTACCCTTAAAAAAGGAGAATTAAAGGATTGTTAATGAAAATAATTAATTACATATGACTATGATTCAAATTAAGGAAGAATGTGATACTAAAGAAAATAAATGGAGATCATAAGTAAGGATGTTAGAAAGTGAGAGAAATGATTGGAAATTTATATTAAGTTAAAAAAATAATGCTGAAAAGAAATTACAAGAAGAATTATTTAAAAAAAATAATGAAAATAATTTATAATCAAGTAATTAACCAGATAAAACATTAAGATTAATTGATTAAATATAAGATTTAGAGAAGAAGTAAATATATTTATGATTACCATTTATAGATTATTATAAGTATAATAAGATTCAAGAGAAAATGATAATTAAAAAGTTTTATTAGAAGAAAAATGTAAGCATTTAGAATTTTAAATTGAAAACAGAGAAAAGGAAATTTTGAGATTGAAGTCAAAACTAGATATTTAAGGCACAAATATTGAGAAATTAGCATAAGAACATCTTATTTCAGAAACATAATAAAAGGCTTAAAGAACATAAACTCAATTAGATTTGTTAACTGAAGAAAATACAAAATTAAATGATGAATTAAATAATTTAAGAAAAGAATTATCACGTTATAGGAAAAAGCCTAGTCAACCATAATAATAAAGCCCTAATAAATCTGATAAAAAAAATGAGTTAAATTAGATCAAATAAAGATTATCTAGTATAGAAGAAGAGAAGGAAAAAAATTAAGAATAATTCAAAAAAATATTAAATTAATTAGAACAGGAAAATTAATAATTAGTTGAGAAAGTCTAGTAATTATATTAATAAAATGAATAATTATAATTAAAGGCTTAAAATGCAGAATAAGTAGTATAAGCATATTAAACTGACAAAATGGTATTTAGTAAAGCTGTTAATAATTTGAAGAATGATAAAGAAAGTACTGTATAGACATTAAGAAATTTAGAAGAAGATAATTAAAAATTAAAATATTAGTTAAATGAAATGGATGATTAACTTCAAATTCAAAGGTCAGAAAATTAATAATTATAAAGAGAAAAGGAATTATATGATAGAAATTATAAAAAATTAAATGATGAATATGAAAGAGAGAAAGATTTTGTATAATAATTAAGACAAGATAAGAGAGATTTGGAAAGAGAATTAGATCAAGAAAAATAAATAATTAGAGAATTGAAAATAGAATTTGAAAGAATGGATGTATCTAAATAAAATTTAGATAATTTATTATAAAAATTTAAATAAGAATAAAAGAATTAATAATAGTCTCATTAATAAAATCCAAACTAAGGTCAATAACTTATAATTGATTAATTAAGAAAGGAAAATGATCTATTAACTAAAGAAGTGTAAACAACAGAAAATCTAATAAAATCAATTAGAAAAGACTTAGGAGAGAAGGATAGAGACAATTATGAATTAAAATAATAAAAACGTATATTAAATGATTAAATAAATGAATTATCATAGAAGAATGCAAATCTGGATTCATAAATAAAATTAAAGTTATAGGATATTGCATAATTAGAATAAGAAGTTGAACAATACAAAAGAGAATAATCTAAAATGAGATTAAATTAATAAAATATTTTAGAATAAAAGTAAAAGATTGAAAATGATACAATAGGAGAATTAAAATTACTATAATAATAGAATAATTCACTAAAATTATAATTATCAGATTTAGGAATATTTAATTCTCAATTAGAAGAAAAGCTTAAAATAGCTTAAGAATTACTAAATGATTAAAGATTGGAAAATGATAAATTATAAATGAATTTAAGATAATAGAGTGATGAAACCTTTAAATATTAATAAAATTTATTAAGAAATAAGGATAAAGAAATGGATTATTATAATTTAACAAATGAAATAGAAAGATTAAGAGATTAAGAAAGAAAGATTTTAATTGAAAAAGAAAGATTTTAAAGTGAAAATTTAAAATTAGAATCGGTTATCAATTAATAAACAAAATAAAATGAATTTTTAAATAAATTAAAAGAAGAAGCAATGAAAGAAGCTAGAGAATTAAGATAAATGATAAATGGATTAAAAACAAATGATCATGAAATTAAAAATACATCAATAAAATTATCAGAAAAAGTAAATAATTATGAAATGACTTTATAAGATATTAATGAATAATTGTAAAAAGAAGTTTAAAGATCTAATAAACTATATAATGAATTAACAGAATCATAATCTTAATTATCTTCTCTTAAATTATAAAAAACTGACTCTGATAATTAAATTAGATAATTAAAATTATTATGTGAAAGTTTAGAAAAATAAAAAGAGGAATTATTATAAAGATTATAATAAAAGAATAGCACAAAAATAGAAGATGAAAGATAAGTATTATAATTAAGAGAATTGAATGAAAATTTAGAAGATAAAGTTAATTAAATATCTGAATAAAATGTTATATTAAAACGATCTTTAGAATAATTAGATCTTGAAAGAGATGAAGTTTAAAATTAATTAGATGAAGTACGAGAAACTAATATCTCTTTATAATAATAAATTAAGCAAATGAATGCTGAAATTTAGAAATAATAATCTAAATTATCAGAGGTTAGCACAAAAGGGGAACGTGGTTATGAAGCAGCTTAATAATTAGAAGAGAAATTAAGAGATTAAATTTATAAAAATCAAAAATTATAAAATGAAAATGACAATCTAAAGTATACTTTATAAATCAAAGAGAAAGAATTTCATGAAATGAAATCTGATATTTAAATTTTAAGTAAAGATAATTAATCTTTAAATAATTAACTTGTTAAATCTGTATAAGAAAAAGAATTACAATCATAACAAATTTAATTTTTATAATAATAAGAAATTAGACTTAAAGAGCAAATAAAAATGTTTGATATGGAAATGCATGATTTATAACTTAATTATAGTGAAGTTTGTGCAGAAAATCAAAGACTTACAGTTTCAATTTAATAAATATCATTACAACATGAGGAAGTATTACAAAGAGGTGTAGAATTAGAAAAATAAGAAGATTTCTTTAAAGTTTAAATGTAAAATGCATCAAAAAGAGAAGATCAATATTAAATCTAATTACAATAATATGAACGTGAAATAGAAAGATTAAATAGAAAATCTGAAGAATATGAAAGATAAATTAGAGATTTGATTAAAGACAGAGATGTAATTATCATATTTTAATTATATATAGCAATTAGGAAAAGAGTATCATTCATAAAGAAAAATTTCTACAGGGTTTTAAGCTGCTCAAGAAGATTTTAATAGATAAATTGCCTAATTAGAAAGAGAAAAATAATATATTGAAAATGCTAACAGAGACTTATAAAAATAAGTAGACCTAAAAGATGCTCAACTATCTTGGGAATAAAAGAGAGTAAATGAGATGGAACAAGTTATCATTTAAGAAAGATAATTATAAATGAATACATTATAAGAAATCCAATAATTAAAAGATCAAAATGAATAGCTTTTATAAGAATTAGAAAAGGCCTATTAACCACAAAAATATAGTTAAAGTAATAAAATACAATTTATCAATTTAGATTATAAAAATGAATCATCTTATGTATCCTAATAATCATAATAGAGTGGAATCAAGGATAATAGTTAATTAGATTAATCTTCTGGATGGGAAAGATTAAAATAAGAGTCTGAAAATTTTAAAAAGACATTAAGTTAGGCTGCTATTTCATCTTAAAATCTAAAATAAAAAATGAAATCTCTATAAAGAGAATATGAAATTTAATAAAATCCTTAATAATAAAGATATATTTGAAAATGATCATTAGAATTATATGAATGCTTTATTTAAAAACAAATAATTTTCTCAATGGTGGTTTATTGTATTAATACGTCCAACTTTCTTAGTCTTAGGCATATCTTATATAAATTTATCCAATTATCCCTCCTATTTTAATTTTTCAAAGTCTTCTAAATATTCTCTTAACACTTTGAATTTGAGATCCAAAGGCTTAGTAGGATCATATTCTTCAATAGGAAATTCTGAATATTTCTAAATTTTAATAAATGATTTAGTAATACTTTCTTAACAATCTTATTTTCTCCTAAAAGAGTTAATTTTCTTTATTTTAATGACTCAGTTAATTACAAAATTGCTTCTTTTGTAATAAGAATTGATTTGAACTTAAGAATTTTAATAATATTAAACTCTTTGACTGTGCATGTTTCTAAAGTGTCTAAATTACGAGATGCTCTTAAAAATAAGTCATCTGGATCAACACTAGTAACAATTAACAATGGTTAAGTAAAAGATTCAAAGCCTTTCATTAATTAAACCAAATGTTTAGTCTTTCCTTCATTTAATTTTTCAGTGTCTATAACAGTGAATTTACCTTCAATAAGAGCAGCTGTCAAACCAACTTTGTATGCTTATAATCTAACCTTTCTAGGTAAATCAATTCTTAATGATCTTATTTTTCTTCCATGTGCTTTAATACCTTTATTTCTTCCTGGTCTTTATCTATGTCCTTAACGTGCTCTTCCTGTCTTTTTTTATGGATGATTTTTTGCCCCTGATGATGCAGCATCTCTCAATGCTAAAGTTGCTTTAGTGACTTTCTTATTATATAAATCAGTATATCTCACTAATCTTTAGACTAAATCTCTTCTGATAGGTTAATTAAATAATTCTATAATTCAATAAAAATATGTAAATACCTTAATCTAAAGTAATTGATTATCCTGTAGGTTATGCATCATGAAATCTGATAATTGGTACAGATACTTCAGTCTTGAATGGTCTCATTGACCAAGGTGTAGCTAATGAGGGTGTATTTGCAGCAAAGCTAAACCTAAATATTTTGAGACACTGCTATAACATATTTTAATTATCTAAATTTAATTTATATTTTCATAAATATATTATCAAAATATTCATCATTATTTTTTATTATATACTTATTTGCTGTTACTATTATTATTGCTAATGCTTTTTTTTAAGTATGTAGACAATAATCTTTGTGTTAATGATTATTTAAGATTAAATTTTTCGCTTCTGATTAATACTCTAGATGTTTTAGATTCAAAAATGCTAAGACTATTTTTTTTTTAGTTTTCAAGATGGCTAAGATTTGGAATATAAATTTGGTTTTTTGATTAATTGGGAAAATAGTAAGTAGAGACATCTGTTTTTATTCTATAATGAAGACGATTAGAAGATTGTTTAAAGGATTTATTCTTTAATAAATCTCTTTATTTAATGATATCAATTTCTTTAAACATTTACATTAGATTTTCATTAGACTTTCCTAAAATTTAGTTATTTTCATTTATATTTTTCTATAATTTACTTAATTAACATTCTGTTTGTTAATTCATTTTAATTTTAAGATCAAACTCAATTTTATTAGGTCTACTGATTTTTTTCATTAAATTTTATGCCTTAATTAGTTAGATAACTGGAATCTAAGATTCTTTAGTACTTCTCTAGGCAATTTATTTCTGATATTTATCACATAAAAATTAATTAAAAAAATACTAAAATGAGGTGATGAGCCAATAAGACTTTTATCTTTTTTGAGCAGTCTAACTGTTTAAGGTTAAATAGATAGCTTTGGTAATGCTCGAGATCTTTGATTAAGAGGCGAGAATTAATAGTCTCTTAATTCTTTTTTACAAATCAAAATTTTCTTTTTAACTTTTCCACCACATTCATTACAATCACAACTATAATTTAATTCTTTAGTGCCGTAATGATGAATTTATTGATATGGTATTGTAAAATTTTTGAATAAACTTCTCCATCCTATATATAATTTTAGTATTTTTTATTACTTTTTTTATAGCATTTATCAAAACCAAATAATTAAGAATTATTTCCACTATTTTTAATTTAGACTCTTTTATATTATAGTATATCATGTTCTATTTCCTAATCCAATTGAGGATAAATATCAAATAAATTCATTAATATGATAAAATTATTAAAATTATTAAAAAAATTATATTTTATTCTTTTACTTACATTATTAATTATATATATAAGATCATTGTTCATTTTAAATTTTTTAACTTAATTATAATCTAGCTTAAATTGATAATTCTCTAATTAAGACTAAATTTGTTATTTATTTTCTGTTTATTTTTAATTTGATTATTATACTACTATTGTTGTAGAATTGAGAGATTTTGAAAAATAAATATTTTTGATTATTATTGTCTTTCTACAATGATTATAATTCTTATTATTATATAATCTATTATTAGAAATCAATTTTTTTTAATTTCGTCATGTTTATTGACATTATTCTTAAAGAGTATTTGTTTTTCTCTAGGAGTAACAAATTCAGTTACTTTTTCACCTCTATTTGCAAAATTTTCAAATTCTTTGAAGAAAGGTCTTAAATCATTTAAATTTGGTTTTTACAAATCATTTTTAGATATCGATAAAAATTCTGGAGTCATAAATTATTCATCAATTGTAAATATATCATTAGATATTTTAATTTTTCTTAGTATTAACTTATTCTTTCTTTCCGAATGCTGATTTAAAGAGCTTAATAAAATGGAAATTTAATTATATTTTCTTATCCTAATTATATAAATATATACTTAATTGAATCTAAATCAATTCTAAATTCTTATAATATTATTTTATTAAATCATATGTTAATTATACTATATTGATATATGAATGTATAATATTAATATATCACCATTCTGGTTTAGGTCTTTGCTTTTTAGCAATTTCTCCTCTTGCTAAATCTGGGAAATTTTCTTCACATGACAATGGAACATCTTTAAAGTAGTAATTTCCATAAGTATTATTTTATCTTTCTCTTTCATATGACCATTATCTTTCTCCTAATAAACAATGTTTATAGAATTTTGTGCCTGTCATTTTAGTAACTTACCACCATAAATAAGATGCTCCAAGTAAATACAATCCATAACCAGCTAATCCAACATACCCAAAACTTTTATTACTTAATACTAAATTAATACTTGTAAAAGAATGAAGTTTATTTAATACTGGTTATACCTCTCTATCCAATTGGCAAAAACATTTATCTATGTGTTAATGCAGCTTATATATAGAATAAGTTTATTAACCTTATAAAAAGAATCCTGTTGTACATATCCAAACTGGGAAGATTCTAACAAAGTTAAAGCATTTCAAGTCCCTTTCAACAAAATCTTAGATATTTCTTGCTACATGGATTCTTAACAATATAAATAATATATTTACCTTTGCAATTTATTAACAAAATAGGTTCTTGGATCTATTTGTTTACCCTCTTGAGCATTTTCTTACATTATTTCAATATATCTTTTATAAGCAGGATTATCACCATGTTAATAGAATAACAATGGATCATATAATTTTTGAATCTCCTCTTTCAATGTCTTAGCATCTCCCTTGGACATTTTTAATTTTATTTAATTAATATAATATAAAATGATAAATGAATTAAATATATCATAATAATTTCAAATTTTATTTGTTAAATCATCATTTCTTGATAATCCTATATACAAAAGTAAAAGAAATAATAAGTTTATATAATTTAAATATATAATAAATCATTGAAATATAATAAGTATTTTTAACAGCTTATTTTAAACTACAAGTTGTGTCAAAGATAGAAAATTGATTAATAATTGTATCATATAATCAAATATATAAATTTTACATAATAATATTGATTAAGGTTTAAATATAAATATTAATATAAATATGAGTATTATTAAAATGAAGAAAATATTTGATTCTGAAAAAGGTTTTGCATAAACTCCTAGAATGTTAAAACCAATCAATAATTCTTTTAGATAAGGAAGTTATGATAAATATGAGTAATAAAAGTAAGAATTGAGTAATTTAGATATTAGCAATTGATTAATCAGATTAGTGTGAGATTTCCATCGGTTAAGGAAAAGGTTTAACATTATTTTTTTTTATTGGGAATGTTTGATGATATCAGGGTTGATACAATAACTAGTTAATTTGTTAAGATAATGTAAAGTTGTTTGAAATATTTTGATGAATTATAATGTAAAATATAGGATCTTGAAGATTAATATAGTAAATATAAAGAAGATAAAGAATTGAAGTTAAAAGAATATACATAATTATTATTGGAAAAGGATTAAATAAAATAAAGTAAGTTAACAATTCAAGATAAAAATTAATATGTATTACGAAATTTATAACTCTAAAGAACAGTAGAAATTTTGAGTAATAATCTAAAAGAAATAAAGGATAAAGAAAGTGTAATAAAACCATTAATAAAAAAACAGATTTAAGAACAAACATAAATAATTGAAGAATAATAAGTAATATAAACAGAAAATGATTAAATAGTAATGGAATTGAAATAATAATTGATATTTGCAAAAAGACAAGATAAAATGTAAATTAGTATAATAAAAGAATTGTAAATGTAAGTTTAAGTTTAGGAAGATTAAATAAAAAATTATTAATTTGAAGTTTAATGTTTAAAAGAATAAAAATAAAAATATTATGAATTATTTTAAATGTCAAAAGAAGATTTAATTAGTTATAAATATTCTATTTTATAAAAACTTAATAAAATAACTTTATTTGAAGATATAATAAAAGTATTATAAAATAGAATAGATCATTTAACTGTGAAAAGAAGTAAAGAAATAGAACCTCCATTTTAGAGTAGAATGGATTATGAAGAAGTTTAAATTGCATAAATAACAAAACCATTAGAATCTGAATAAGCATTTTTTAGATATCTAGTATCATCTTCATTAGATTAAAATAATAATAGGAATTCTTAAATTAAATAAGACGATCAATTTGATATCTCATTATTAAGATTCAATTATCCTCATTTTTCTTTATTTTTAGATAAATCTACTCTTGATATATTATCTCATTAAATAGAGAATTAATAGATGTCTGCAAATTTCATGGGTACTCTTAGAGCAATAATGGATGGTATGTATTAGGAAATGTAAAAAGAGTATTCTATGTCTTTTCAATCCTATGTATTTTCATGGTTGAGTACTTTTAGTTTAGAAAAACATGAAATATAAATAATTCCTAAAGATAATAAACTCTTGGTTTAAGAATATATTAATAGATTTTATATTTAATTAATGATACCTAGTTTTGATAAAGTTTGGGAAATTGTTTAATTTCGTCATTTCTTAAATGATATATATACAAAAGAAGAATTATATTTTTATCTTCATATAAGATATTTGATTAAAGGAGTTTGGATTTAATAGTTTGATGCAATATATGAATTAGTTAATTATATAAAAATAGAAAAAGCTGAAAAAATCATTTTATTGTTTTTAAGTAAATTAAATAAATAAAATCAAAATATGATTTTGAAATCTTTAAAATAAGCATCTATAATTGTAAATAATAATATATTGGTTTAAACTGGATATGTGTTATAATTATTATTAGAAATCTTTAGAGCAGATAGAAATTAAAGATATAAACAATTATTTTCAGTATTTCCAAATCCACCAATTACTTTTAAAAAGTTTTAAGATTTTGTATAATCAAACTTTTCTTTAAGTTCTGGATAGATTGCTGAACTTTATAGAGAAGTTCATATGATTTCAAAAGGATAAATAAATGTTAATGCCTTTCACGTAGCAACTTAATTTATATGGATAAAATAAATTAAAAATTTGAATTCAAATTAAGAATTTACTTAAGATGATTTAAAATAAGAATTATCTTAAATACATGGAGATAATTATACTTTATTGTAAAAAAAGATGGAGTAAACTTTTCAAGAAGATATAACTAGAAAAATGGATATATTTTAATATATTATAAATTTTGAAATATTAAAAAATAAAGATAGATTAATAAATTTTATGAATCAAATATTGATTGAAGAAGTTGAATAATAAAAATTATAGAAATTTACTAAGAATGAATAAATTTAAGCAATTATAAAGGTTTAAAAATATTTCAAAAGAAAGTTTTTACATAATTACTTAACTTTATATTCAATAATTTCATTAAAATTAAAGTCTGTTTAATAAATAGAATGATTACTAAATTATTAAATAATAATTAAAATATTTATCATTAAAGCAATGGAGTTATAAAAATCTATTTAAATTACTCTCTACAATTTCTATTTTTGAATTTAGTCTTTATAGACCAACTCCTATTTCTTTATTTGTATGGATCAATTATATTTCTTCTTCTACGTTTCTTTCTTTTTTTCTCTCTTTCAAGAATCATAGCTATTCTTTCATGAAATCTTTTTCTATCTTCATTAGTTAATATTCCTCCCATTTCATCTCTTTTAGATACATAATCTAATTTTAATTTAAACTATTTTAAATATTCTGATCTATGATCAAAATTAAATTTCAATTTTAAAAGATGCAAAATATGATAAAATTTCTTCTCATCTAATAATAATACTTCCATTTCTTCTTATGTCATCATTGGTTACCATAAATGTTTAGTTTCTTATATAGATTAAATCTATTTAAAAGTCAAATTAGTATTATGTAATTATGAAGCTTATCTAAATGATTAAATTGGAGTTAGATTGATTCTTCCTAATTCTTTATGTGGATCTTCTTTTAAATCAACTGTAATAGTTGATCTAGGATGTTTAATTAATTATAATGGTAAATCCTATTTAATTTCTCTTTTTTTGATATTGATTTCATTTGAATATTATTCAAACAATTTTACTCCAGAAGAATTATTTTATTTTTATATCAATTATTCTTATGCAAATTATGGTAATAATACATTTCCTTTATCTTGATTGTAATTTTTATCATATTGTGAAAATGATTTATTGACTCTTTCCTATTAAATATTCTATTTTTTAACTTTAGGCAATTATTATTTTATTTAATTTTATTATTATGATATAACAGTAACATCATTAATTGGATTACTTGTATAAAATAAACTAGTATCTTTATCCTATTTAAAATATTATTTTTATAAATGAACTCTTTCATTCCCAGTAGTATTTATTATTGGTTTTTATACACCAATTATTGGAATCTTTACTTTCCTTTCTAAAACATAACATTTTTCTCTCTCATTATATCTTAATATAAATAAATCTGGTGGTAATGGTTGAATCTATTATAAATAACATCTTCCTAAAACATCAGATTTTTATTCTAAATATATTATTAATTAATACCCTTAAATTCTTCAGGCAAATCCTTTTTTTATTACTCATACCATAACATTGCCTCATCTTATTCAATTGACTATTTATTTTATTCATCATCTTTAGATTCTTATTAATGAGTAATTTCTTATTGAACTTAAGCTTATTGATTATCTTGATTAGTATGGAATACTTCTTTATCTTTTGTATTTTAATTTTGTAATGAAGATGTGATTTCTTTACTAACAATTTCTATAATATTAGAAAAGTAATCATAAAAATCTTCTACTCTAGGACTATTTAAATAATTATATCTAATACTCATCTGAAAATAATGAAATTAATTTATCAAACATATTCTCTCCTATTTCAGGCATTCTTAAATAATTCCATTCACACCATGCTCTATAATATATTAAATTTTTCTTCTTAAATTTTAAATAAGTGATTTTCAAATTAGAAAAATCCTCAAAAAAAGTACTTGGTAATGTTTATACATCATCTAATGTCATAAGTTATGACTATTTTATCTTATCTCCTTTTGTCACAGCAAAAAATAAAGTAAATCCAAATATATGGAAGAGTTCTATGTCTAGATGAATACACCAAGTTGTGCATAAATCAAAGAAAAATTTACCAAGTATTTCTGAATTAATTTTAACATTCAAATACTGTTATGCTGGATTATCTTAAAATTCTAACATAAAATTATTGTAATCTAATGAAGTTAATGTAGGCTCAAATGGAAGTTATTTTATTTCATCATCTATATTAATTGGTTCAATTATGTATAATGTTTTTAAATCATAGCAATCTTAAACTTCTTTTAACCAATCATTCAAGGCAGACATAACTCAATTTCTAATAAATAGTACATGCATTTTTTAGATTAAACTCAATCAAAAGAGCCTTCTGCAATCTGATATTTAACTCAATAAATGTAATGAATCCTATTTTAGTATCCCCCAACAAAGACATCCATAAATCAACTAATTATAAAAATAATGGATGATAAAATAAGGCCAATCTCCTATTAATGTCTTATTATTTATTCATTGAATTTATATTATTAAAATTTAAAATATATTTCACTTTTTCAAAAAAAGAATTTCATCATTTCTTAGATGTTATGGTTTTAATATTCAATTACCATAATATCAAACATATAAATAAGTATTGTATTGCTATTTTTATAAATTTAGTTGTATTAATTTATAATAACAATTGTAATCAGTATTGATAAAGAACTAACAAAAATGACTTAAGGGTATTTGAGCAATAATTCTTATACAAAAAATAATCTAAATAAATTCACAAATAAATATACAACTAATTAAAATAACAAAAATAACAACTTCTATTTAATTTATCAAAATATAAAAGAGAATAGTATGATTTAAATCATATAATTATAAAATCATTATCTTCATCCCTCTAACCTGGATTATGAAGTATTAATTATTCATTCTTTTATATTTCATTATTAAAACATGTTGATTTTATTTTTTCATACCAGTTACTTATTCGAAAGGTTTAAAGATGCTATGTATTAAAAATACTTGGTAGATTTTTAGAAATTTTATATAATTAGTAATTATATTCTTTCATTGATTCTTAAAAATTTTGTTTTATAGTTACTTTTTAATTTTAATTTAATTATCTAAGAGTTCTTTAATAGAATTAATGATATACTTTTTAGTAAATTGATACATAGTTTGAATACTTGCTAAAGTTGTTTTGGTTAAAGAAAGATTGAAAATTTGATATTATAGTTTCTTTTTTCTATCTTATTTTTTTTTGTCATGTAAATTACAGCTTTGATTTTGACATACATTCTCAAGCCCATTTATCATGTCTTAATACTATTATAAATCTGGTTCAGATTAAGAGGCAGTTTTCAGCGTTTTATTAAGAAAATTCATTATTTAAACTATATTAATTATTATTTATTAATATAAATCATAAATTAAAACTTATATATATGTAAAACGATTATATTATTAATAAATTATTTTTAGTATTCATTTATTATTTATAATTGAACTGAAAACTTTTATATATTAAATATAATTCAATATTACAACAATTATAAGTATTAATTCATATATGAATATTAGTTTTTAGTTTGAATTATTGTCATTTCTTATAGTAATCATAATTTTAGATTTAAAGTTTTATATTACAAAATTTGTTAAGAATCCAAACTTAGATATAAAATTTCATTTTTTTTATTATTCTTAGTAACTCTTTAAACCAGAACTGAGCTTGCTTGTTTAGTATTTTAAAAATGAATGAATTTTGACAAAATATAGTATAAATAAGCTTTATTGAATTTAATTCATTAACATGCATGGATTTAAATATATATACATATTGTTTAAGTAAAGAAATAGATAATTTTAAATTTTAGAAATGTATGAGAAATAAGTATATAGGGAATATATAATAATAATAGAAAATAAATTGATGTTTGACATTTAAATTTAAGATGATGTTTGAAATTCTATAATAGTAAACGAAAAATTGAAAATTTAAAAAAAAATTAAAAGTTCATACATTATATTAGATTGGGACACTGATGAATATTTGTATTGATTCCACAAAAAAAATTATAAAAATAATCTTTCAGTTTTATTAGTAAATAAACATAAATATTTATAATAATGATTAGTTTAACTCCACTTAAGTAATATTATTACTAAGGCATTGACTATTAGAATGCAAGTACTGATGAAGATGAAGAATAATTCTAAATAGAGTAAGGAATTTAAAATAATATTGTAGTGTTTAACCAAAAAAGAAATATTTTGAGACAATTGAAGAAAAAAGACAATATATTGAAGACTATACAAAAAAGAAGAAGACAGAGTTGTGTAAGAACTTTTAATTGACTGGATAATGTAAATTTGGAAATGAGGTATTTTTTAAAGTTATTTTCAGTGTTCATTCGCCCATGGCTTTTCTGAGTTATAAGCTAAGACTCATTTACATCAGAAATATAAGACAAAACCATGCAACAGATATTTTAATCAAGGGTTTTGTCCTTATGGTATAAGATGCCAGTATTTGCATGATGAAATAAAAGATTAATCAAGATTCGAGAAATTCTTACAAGAATCCTACTAACATTAAGGTATGAAGCCTTCGATAGCTAGAAGTAAATTATAAAATTATATAGTAGAATACCTTAATAATTCTGAAAGATTAGATATTTAAAGATTCCAATAAGTTCTACAAAAATTCGTCAAAAAAGGATTTAATGTTGAATTGAACGCTAGATCTAAATTCTTTGTTTAATTAGAAAATAAAACAAAATTGACTTCTTAATTCTGAACTTTTATATAAATTATTATTCAATAAAAAATAACATAATATCTTATTTAATTACTGAGACTTAAATACTTTAGAGATAAGAAACCTCTTATTATCTTATTAAAAATATTAGTATTAAATTAATTCTATTAATAATAAATAAGTATTTCTTCTTTATAGGTTTTTTCAATTAGAATATTATATTTCTCTAGAATTTAATATTAAAATATTTATGAAAACTTGATTAACTACTTTATATTCAAGCAAATCAAGCTAATTTTTTATACACTACATATCTTCTGACATATATAACTTAACAAGCAGCCACAATAATTAATAATCCAAAGGTTATGCCAGCAAACCCAATTATTTTGGTTTAAATATCTGTAAAACTATGCTTTCTTTTATTTTCTCTATCAACAATCAATAATTATTCTCTTGATATGTCTTATTACAATTATTCCATTGTGTCTAAAGTTTCATTTAAATTAAGAACATGTTGTTTTTTGGCCAATAAATCTTAATCATATATTTCAGCTCCTATAATAAATTTTAATACTATTTAAATACCACTTTCATAAAATAGATTAAAAGTTGTAATATCAGCATAATCATCTACTTCAAAACACATTGAAATTTCTCCAGATTCCTACATTACATAATGAAATTATTGATTAATATCATTAGAATGTTCAATAATGATTGTCTCTTAATCCTATTAATTTATTATCTTAAAATAAAATAGTATGAATTAATTACACTTAATGTAAAACTATATAGCAAGGATGTAGTATCATAATTTCCATATATGAGTGTATTTTAAGACACAGAATCTTTAATGCATTATTATTATCCAGGTGGAACTTTGAATTTTAGAATAATTGATTGCACACCTGTTAATAGGAAAATTAATTCTAAAATCATAAATAAATATATTATATATATATATTTATTGTATCAAATTAATACTGATTCTTCCTGCTTTGTTGTTTATTTTTATTAAAATTCATATTGTTTTATAAGTCTATCAATTTTTTCTTCTTTATAATTATTCCAATCTTCTTCTGTTATTTTCGATTATTTTTTCTTTTTTTAATTATTTACTACAGCAACAATTTAATCTTTAATAATTTTGTTAAATCCATCTAAAGGGTTACTTCCAGAAGGAGGTAAATTAATATTTTCAATTGAATCAGATAATTGAGTGATACATAATTATTTTAAATGATCATGTTGATATATAGAAGCTGATGGTTTTACATGATATTATAAAGTTTATCTTACTAATTAATAATCTTAATTGCTTCCAAATACAAGTGAACAATTATTTGTATGTGCTAAATATCTTAATCCTCTTGTTATCCATTTTCTAGATTCTTAATCCAAATTTTTAGAAAATAAATCATATTTCCATCCTACAATTATAATAGGAACATATGAAGGAATTATTCTATTTTTATCATGATGCATCATAATCTTATCATAAATATTTAATTCCAATTGTTTAAAAGTATCAACATCTATTGATTATTATAATTTCTTTTCTGTTTCCTCCTTTATATATCTAATTTCTGAATTACATGTATTTAGAATTTCATGAGGATTATCTGATAAATCAATTACTAAAATATAACTGTACTATTAATATGATTGTTTATTTAATGGTAAAGTTAATAATTATTTAAATGCTTATCCAGAAATCTCAAAATATTGAAGGACTGCTTAATAACCTATAATATTTGTTTTTTATTATGTATATATCAAACCTGCTTAATCTTATATTTATTATGATGTTAATTTAGAAACCTAAATTTAAATAAAAAATATACAATTGTTGATTTTCCAACTTGAGTTTAACCACATAAAACAAAAGAATGTTATAATTATGATTAAGGCACATTAATTTGTATGTCTTTAAGAATAGTAAATAAAGAATTCATTTTAATTAAAATAAATGAAATTCAAATAATTTATTAAAATACAATTCAAATGTACATAATATCAAATTAATGAATCATCATATTAAACACTCTTTTATTATTATTCTTATTTTTAATCTCCTGATTAAAATTCCCCAAAATCATCCTCTTATATATTTTAACTTTACTATAAATTATTATTTAATTATTTACTATTTATTTTAATGTTTCATAATTTTTCAATATTTCTTCTATTTCAAAAATTGATGCTCTATTTTTAGGATTTGGCTAAAGCATTATCCCAATCAAATCTATCATCTTTTTTGAATACTAATATGTTTAAATACTTCTGTATACTTTATTATCTTTTGGAATAATATATGAAGCTTCAACAATAGCTAATTTAGAAGATTCTTAGAATGGTGGATTATAAAAACACATTGTATATAAAATGCATCCTAACATCCAAATATCAACTTTTTCATTGATTTCATACTTTAAATATAAATCAGTCATTTCTGGAGGCCTATATACTTCTGTTGTATATTTGGCAAAACTCTCTTCATATTAAGATATTTGCTGTTTATTTAATTAACTAATTTAAATAATAGAACATACTTTAAATCAATTTTTTCAGTACTAGCTGAACCAAAATCACATATTTTAAATACTTTATTATGCAATAAGACATTTTCAACTTTTAAATCTCTATGAATAATAGGAGGATTTTAGGTATGAAGATATTTAATTGCTTAGACTAATTACTATGATAAAGTGAAAAATAACTTTTAACACTAGAAGTATTTATTATTCACTCAACCTTTTTTCATTGTATCTCTTCAGTAAATCAATTAATGTACCACCTTCACATAATTCTAAAACCATATATGCAATAGTCTGATTTAATTTCTTATTAAATTTGATTACACCATTATAACATTTGACAATATTAGGATGTTGAATTCGTTTCTATTTAATATATGAATAAGTCTTAATTTACATGTAAATCTAATTCTTATTATGCTTATTCAATTGCTTCTTTACTTTGACAAATAATTTTCTTAATAACACAAAATTTTCTTGTTTTAGTTTCAATTGCTCTCCAAATAAAACCATAACCTCCTTCAGCAATTAAATTTAATTCATGATATTCTTAACCATTAATTTCATAACTATCTGGTTATGGTCCAGAAGTACTTTATCCAAAGAGATTCATAAAGAAATTCATTTTAATATAATAATTGATAAGTATAATCAAAATTGCCTATTAATTGATTTACTTTTTGGATTATTAGCACATTTGGTTGAATGAGGAGCACTTAAATCTCGAGATCCCTTTCTTGAATTCAATTATAATAGTAATTAATAAGGATTCATTAACGATTAAGGCATCCATTAATTATTTTGACTTCTCTTTTATTCATTAGATTGTTATTTATTTGAATTCATAATCTTTAAGCCATCATGATCATAAATTGTTTAAACATTTCTTTAATAATTTAAAGAGAATATATTTGGTTTTTATTAACATGAATTTCTAATAGATGTAGGAGTTAATTTTTTTTATTGTTCTAATTTAAATATATAAATATATTAATTTACTGATGTATTATAAAATAAGATTTGCATTGGCAGGTGAAATAGATTATCTTTTACCAGCAATCATAGTTGTCTAATTTAATTATGAATCAGCATTATAATTTGATTCTGTTCTAACTTTTTATTTTTTTACATTTGATGTAATTGGTTTACTAAATTCTTCATCTGAATCTATACTATCTTAACGATTTGATTATTTTAATTAGATTGATTTATTTAATTTTTCATCTTATAAATAATAATGTCCTCTATTTTATTGTGTATGCATTTTCTTATGTTGACGACTTTGATTAGATTGAGATCTATTAGAATTCAATGTTTTTAACATTGATTCATCTAAAAAACCAAGTATAGGTGCTATTATATTTAATATTAATATAAATTACCTTTCTAAACTCTTTAAATCGGTTCTAATAATTTTTAATCAAAATGTACAGAATTAATATCTGCTGTTGATATTCCTCCATTCATTAAATGTCTTTTCATTAATAAAAAATATGAAGTTGTTACATTATTTTATTTATTTGCATCCAAACAAATTTTTATATAATCTTCATTAAATCCTCTTTCTTTTAATTATTATACAATATTATTATCAATAGGAATTCTATGATATCCAATAATAATCCCTGGAGGAATAGGATGAGATCTTCTATATAATTTAAACCAAGGATGAGATCTTATTTAATCTAAATTAAATCTTTTTTCTGGATTTATATTCAAGATTCCTTTCAAAAAACTTGTACCTTCAGGAGATACAAAATTAGGTATCTTATATTCTCCATTCAATATTTTTTTATATAAAGCTGATGTGTTTACATCTTCAAATGGTAAATAACCACAAATAGATGCAAATAAAATCACTCCACATGACCATATATCAACTAATAAGGAATTATATTTATTCCCTTGTATCATTTCAGGTGCTGCATAACATGGACTACCACATGCTGTCTTTAATTATTCTCCTTATTTATATGTATTACTTAATCCAAAATCTACAATTTTTAAACTCTTTTAATAATCTAATAATAAATTTTCAGGTTTCAAATCTCTATGAACTATATTTAATTTATGTATATATTCAATTCCAGATATTAACTCTTAAATAAATTTACATGCTTCAATTTCAGATAGTCTATATTAATATATATTAAAATATTACTTTTAATGCTTTACTATATAATCAAATAATTCACCTCCATCACAGAATTCCATAACCAAAAATATATATTTCTTAGTTTCAATTATCTTTGAATAATTATTTATTCTTTTAATACCTCATATAATTGAATAACATGTTTATGTCTAATCAATTTTAAAATATGTATTTCCCTAGAAACTCTTTCAACATCAGCCACATCTATTATCTTTGATTTCTCCAAAATTTTAATTGCTACTTTCTCTTAAGTTATTTAATGAATTGCCAATTTGACTAAACCAAATGTACCCAATCCAAGAGTTTTAACTACTGTAAACCTAAACACCAACCTAAAAGATAATCTCCTATCTATCGTTATTTATCAGATTCTTAATCTTATTCCTTTATAATCGATTTCCTACTATTAAATAATTTCATTAATTAAATTAATTCAATCCATATGTAACAATAATAACTTCATGATATTTCACCATGGAATCAAAATAATGATGATCTTTTAACTGTAACTGAATAATAAGTAGATGAATTCAAAACTAATTATGAAAACTTTCAATAATAATAGGATAAATATAAAAAGTAGAAAGTTATAAAAGTAAACACAATTAATTGTAGAGGTGAAACAAGATTAATACGTAAATTAATATCAAAATATAATTGGAAAGAAGTTTTTAATGATGGTGATATTTGTATGTTAGGATTACCATTTAAATAATAAAATTATGATGAATATTTCACATAATCTGTTAATCGATTCCCAGGAATGGATTTATTAGCTCATAAAACATAATCATCATTTTATTTGAATAAATTTGCTTAATATTTTCCAGATGAATATCAGTTCTTTCCTAAAACTTACATTATACCTGATGAATTTGATAAATTTTAAAAGGAATATAAAAGTACTCGTACTTACATAGCAAAACCTGATGCAGGGTCTTAAGGGGATGGAATTTATTTGATAAAAAATTTAAAAGATATCAAAAATTATGAAAGTATAGTAATACAATCATATATCTCAAAACCTTTATTAATAGATAAAAAGAAATTTGATCTAAGATTATATGTTCTAATAACATCTCTAGATCCTTATATATGTTATATTAATAAGGAAGGACTAGCTAGATTTTGTACTGTAGATTATGAAAAACCTAATGATAAAAATATAAAGAATCCATTTATGCATTTAACCAATTATTCTCTTAATAAGAGAAATACTAATTTCTAAGTTTATAATGGTCAAAATATATTAGATATAAATGAAGGAACTAAAAGAACTTATTCATCCATTAAAAAAAATTTAGAAATTTTAGGATACAATAATAAAGATATTGAAGATGAAATTGAAACTTTAGTTGTTGCTTATTTAAAAAGTTTACTTCCATTTTTAGAATTCAATTAAAAATTAGTATTTTAAAAAAGAGTATCTGAAGTCAAATGCTTTTAAGTCTTAGGATTTGATATTTTACTTGACGAAAAAGGTAAACCATGGTTATTAGAAGTTAATTCTAATCCAAGTCTTTAAATTGAACATGAAGTTTTTTAAGCAAATGGGAAATCTGTTTTTGAAGAATCTTTGATAGATAGTTATGTCAAAGAATTAGTTGTTGGTGATGCAATAAAATTAGCGATGATGTCTAAAGAAGATTAAGAAGAACTTTAAGGATTTGAAAGTTATAAAAAATTAGATATTGATTAAAGTGAAACCATATTCTCAAAAATTATGTAAATTTATGGTTTTTTATCTGGATACAAATTTTAGGAATATTTGACATCTTCTAAGTTTTAGAAATTAGCAAGTTTCCCATAAATGATTTCTTAGACATTTTTAAAACATGATTATGATTTACTATTCAGGAAAATTATTTTGAGATCATGTAATACAAATTTAATGGATTTCTTTCAATTTATTAATGCAATTGAATAACTTGCTGATAAATTAAATTAAGATTTAGAAGAAATGCTTGATAGAATAATTTAGAATTTTTGATATTTATAAATTAATTAATAATTAATAATTTTTAAAAACTCATAATAATTTTAAATCTTGCTTTTTGTGAGTCCATTTAAAATAATATACAAAATAATTATTTGATAATCACAAATTAGTGTATCCAACCAAAAATCATTAATATTCTTAAGCCTTCTAGGGGTTATCAACTTTTATTATAAAAATATAAGAATCAATAGAAAACTATCTATTGGAAAAAACCTTAAATTTATTTTATTGATATAAATATTACCTTAATTTTTTTTGTTAATGAGTTATTCCAATATTCATCTGATATATTCTATAAAAATAATAAAAATATGTCCATTGATCATTTGATCTAGTTTATCTACCAAATATTTGTGTAAATATTTAAGTGAACATTAATTAGTAGATATTTTTTTATCATAAATATGAATCCATCCATAATCATTTTAATGAAATGTACTTTAATAATTAAGATTTTATGGAGTAATGCATTCTTCTACTAGTAATTTATTTATTTAAAACATCAAGATTTCAAATTTCCTTATTAGTTACAAAAATTTGAACATTTGATATTGATCACTTTGAAGAAGTAATAATTGTTTTCTTCAATATTCCTCTGAAATTAAAAAATGATATAACTTTAAATAAATACTATATTTTCGAAAGTATAAAAGTAACTTAAATATTATAAAAATCATGATAAAATTTCAAATTAATTATATTTTATAATAATAATAATCAATCATTTTAAAATGAAACAATTAATTTTCCTACATTACTATTTAGTTCCATTTCATTATGTAATCTAATTATTTTATTTATTCCCTCTTCATTCCATTATACTTTAGTAACAGATTGAATTGGAATAGAAATCTACCCTTTTTCAATTAAAGGCAAAATATTCTTAGTAAAATCTTTTACAAGTTCTGCCTTAAATTAATCAGAGCGAGATCTTGTATAATCATAAATTTAGATACCTTAATGTAGAATTTATTAGATGAATTCGTTTTCCTAATAATGGAGCAAGATTGAATTTTTCAATTTACCCTCCTGTCAATAAACCATATAAAATCCATTTACCATCTATACCCAAAGATTCTAAAGTCATTTGATAATTTTATTATCCAACACAATCGAAAACTGCTGTAACTCCTTATGGTTAATACTATCTTATCATTTAAATCTAATCTTTAATAGATTAATCTCTATGAACAATAAAATTAGTGTATTATTGGATTTTTTAAACTTTCATTTGTGAACAACTAGCAATTCCTATGACTCCATAGTGATTACATAATTATAAGGTAGCTTAACCAACTCCTGAAGCTGCTGCATATATTAAACATGAATTTCCTTTTTTTAATTCTGATAATTTATATTACAAATATGCTGTCAAATAGATTTCACTAATTCCACCAGCCTATTATAATAAATAAATTATACAGCATCTAATGTAATATTAGAAGGAACATCTATTAAATGATCTTTATTAACAGCAACATATTAGGCATATCCTCCTCCAGATAATATTCCCATTACTCTTCTTAATCTATTGCCTTCTCTATCAAGTTCATAGCCAGCAAATTCCAATCCTAAAATATTAGTAACTCCTTTTGGAGGAGGATATTTCCCTTATCTCTATAGAATATCAGCTCTATTTATAGATGTTGAATGTATTTCAATTAGAGATTAGTTTTAATTAGGTTTAGGTATTAAAGATTCTCCTAATTTAAGTACATTTGGTCCTCCAAATTCTGTTTGATTTACCTTTTAAGTTGTAAAATCTTTCACTTACATGTTTCATAATAGATGGTAAAACTTTCCTCATTAGAATATTATATAATTAATTTATTAATATAAAAATTGTTAAAAAAATCTAAATATTTTCGACATACATATTATGGTATTATGTATTTGCAGTTCTTGAATAAAACATTTATGATTTCATAATTTTATATTATACTTAAAATAATAGAGAAAAAGTATAAATAGATTATCATTTAAGCATTCATTTAAGTAATTCTATTTCTATCAATAAGATTTATCTAGAGAAAATAATTTGCATGTGAAGAAAGGTTTATACAATTAAGTTAATCAAAAGAATAACAATATTTATAAAATTAATTGAGATTGAAATAGTAATTATTATTTTACTAATGTATTTATTTAAGTATACTAGATTGCTTTAATATGTAAATAATTTTTAATGTTTTTGAGAATAAAAAGCTTCAATAAAAAAATAATATCACTCAACAGTTCTAAATAAAGATATAGTTTCTTAAAATCCAAAAGAATTAAATTTATTAATGTTAATTCGATTAATAATAATTATTATTTTATTTAAGATTTTAATTACAACTATTCTATTTAAACAAAGATTAATTTGATAATAAATTCATAATTTATATTTTGGATCTTTTTCAAATGAATTTAGGATTTTTTTTTTGATACTAGTTAAAAAATATTGTGTTTTAGCAATTAAACCCTAATTTTTTTATGCAGACTATTATATAATTAATTCTTATTACATTTATTTAATGTTGCTATAATTTTAATATATTTTCATCTTATATTTACTAAAGTTTCTTCATCTATTTTTACATCATATCAAAGGTCTTATTAGGAATTTCCCATTAAGCTGAACTTCCTCTTCTATAATATCTATTTTCTGAAAACTATTTGGCAATTTCCAAAACTCTATTTTTCATTTTACCAAAGATTTAATGTTAAGATAAATGTTATTATTAAGATTAATATTGTTAAACTTTCTAATAAATATAGAATAATCTATACCTCTAAATTTTCTGCCCAATGAGGAACTTTCTTATTATTACAGTACAATCTCTTTTTTTTAGGAGTAAATTAGTTTTTACTTTCTAGTAGTTAAAAATTCTATTAAACATTTATACTATTTGTACAAAAGTCTTCTGGAAATGGAAAATCAAAAACTGAAGATTAAAATTAAAATCCACAATCTTACAATAAATTTTCATCTTCAATACTACTACTTTTCCATTTATATGAATGATGATCCAAATTAGATGATTCATTTGTATTATAAGATGTAGCTTTATATTCAACTGAAGAGCTATCATACCATTCTGATTTTTTTGGAGATGTTTATTATTATTTTTAATATTATTCCGCATTTAAAACAATAAATGGATCATTAAAGTGTGTGAATGTATCTATTTGATTTGAATTTTCTTATTGATATGTATTAATAATCTCAATAGATTTCAATTTTGGAATTAGTTCTCCTGGATCAACTTATTCAATAAGAAGCATTAATTCTTTTTATTCCTATGCTTCTTTTTCTTTATCAACCTTAATTTAAGATAATTATTAAGAAAGAAGTGATTATTTTTTCTATTAGACTGGAGTGTCATTTCTTAGATTTGTATTTTTTGAATACTCTTCTATTATTTAACTGTTATTCTTTGATTTATAAGCACTTAAGCTACTTGAATTTGTTGATTTGATTGACAAATTAGGATTACAATTTTCTTAACACATCAAATTTTCAATTCTAATTTAATCCAATTATTCATTATCTATTCCAATATGTTATTAATCTGTATAGTATTCCTTCGTTTTTGAATCTTTACCATAATCTTCATCAAATTCTTCTATAACTGCATCCAAATGCGACTACTTATGAGATTACATAATAATTTAATTGATAATCTTCAAAGTTTAGTCTACACTTTCTATAACACTATTTGTAACTAAAGTCATTCTCTATTGAGTTTAGATAGTGATTTATGAAGCAGCTGCAGTCACATGAATGGAAAGTGCTAGCACTTCTTTTGAAATGTCTTAAGTCATTTAAATTTAAAAAAAATAACAAATACAAGCGCAATAATCATAGTGCTTTTCCTATATATATATATACTCTTAGAATTTATGATAAATAAATGAAAAATGAAACTAAATAATATTCTTACAATGATAATTATAAAAAGATGAAACAACACTAAATTTATAGAATTTAATATAGATATAACTCAGAAATTTTCAGATGAAATTTTTTTTAGATGATAGGGACATTTGTTCCTGGTGCTTATTGTTGAGAAAATAATTGAACGCATTAAGAAAATGTTATTTATTAATAATTATATGGATCTATCTTATCTCTAAATATCTTAATCATTAATTCCAATATTCAATTCTTTAATCAATTATGCGAATTCATTCTACTTTTTAAATTATTATTACTTCATCTATAATTCCATTCTAATCTTAATCTTATTATTTAAAATGCTAAATAAAAGTAGATAAGTATTTTTCATGTGATTTCATTTAACAATCTAAAATAAACTTCTAAAATATAGAAAATTCAATCTTAGATTTATCTTTCTCATTCAATATTTAAAAATACTCTTCTCTTGTCATTCTTTTCTCTACATGTTTTGTCTATTAGATGAAGTATTATTTTAATTTGTTAAGAATTAATTCTGAATCTTCTTGATTATACATATATTTAATAATATCTTCAGCCTCTTCTTAAACTAATAACTCTTTAATTCATCATTTCTTTAATATGAGCATTTTTTTTTAAAGGAAATTTCCCTCATAAATATATCTATTATAATTATAATAAAATCTTACTTTCAATAATTCCAAAATTATATTCTTAACTTTATCTTAAATGAATCTAAATTCTTCATCACATTCATTTCTTAAGATTTTACCAAACATTGCAACATCATTTTCTTCATTTCCATATCTTTTAATGCATTTATTATATAAGAAACCCATTCAAGTATTAAACTCTTTAAACCATATTTCTAATTTAATAATGCATACTTATGCTATTCCGTGGTCTCTCTTGGTAAATGAGAATCAGAGTATCTTTAATCAAGTTTCAATTTACTTTCATATATTTCCAATATTAAATCTTTAAATTACTTTAAAGTTAATGCTTAACCATTTATGGAGCTTAAATGCTATTAATTAATCTTATTTTAAATATATGCATATTAACACTATTATGGCTTAATTAAATTTAGAGCAAATTCTTTATCATTATTATTATTATTCTATTGTATTAATTAAGATGATATAATCAAAATTTTAAAATTCAGCCTTTACCTCATGATTACTATTCTTTTTAATTGAATTTAATTGTATCTATTCACCTTTTCCAAATTTAATTAATAATTCTAAATAAGATTTATTTTCTTATTCAATTTCACTTGTATAAGATTACAATTCTTAATGCTCTTACCTAAGTCTTTATTCTGTTCCCTTATCTTATTTTAATTACCATTATTTTATTTCTAATTATTTTTTATCTATTAATTATATTTATTAATTATCCTAATATTAGACATGTTTGCAAATATTTATTGATGTTAATCATGCAATTTTATTATTATTTACTCTAATTTTTTATCTGAAGTATCTTATAAACAATTAAAAACAGACTTCATATAAATTGTATTTGGCCTATTATTGAATATAATTAAAACTTTCACTTTTTATGCTAACTTAATCAATAATTCTTTCATTACAGTTTAGATAGAGTTCTCAAAAATTGATAAAATTTATTTTTTGATTCTCTATCTGCCTTTCTCAACTCTTTTATGCTGTCATGTAACAACTAATTTTTAATATAACTCTATACAGCCATCAATTCTAGATCTTCTTATTGTAATGTTATTTCTAAACCTAATACTGATCTTTCTGATTGCATATCACTTTATTATTCAAAATGGTCCTCAATTTTAATAGCTTATTAGTTTAACATCCATAATTATGGAAAATTTTCAATTATAATTTCTTCCTCTTCTTTAGATTTTAATGCTATTTCCAAATGATTTAATTAAGGGAATGTTTTTTATGATTTAACTACTTATCATTGTTACTAAATTAAAAATAAAATATTACATTTGAAACATATTATTGGTTATATCTAATGTTTCCAGACTTTTTAATTAAGATAAATCATCTGATAAATTTCTTAATCTATTTCCATTTAAATTTAACTATAATTATACAAATTTCTTACTTCCTTGAGATTCTTATATTATATAAGAAATGGAAACAATTCCTGTAAATTTTCTATTTGCCTAAAATTAAAGTATATAAATATACTTAAATTCTAAATCAATAAGAGATAGATTGGTTCCTGATTATTATATTATCTTTGAAATTCTCCATTTAAAGAAAAAATTATGAATATAAATATAATATATATATTTATCATTAACATGATTGTCATTTGTATTATTCATTTTGGAATTTGATATTTGAATTGCAAAATTGTTGCTACTGTTGTATCCATCTTAACATCATCATTTATTATTCTTATGTCATAATAGGATAGGGCATATAATTCGCATCCTAATTATATAATTATGGCATTTAAGATAATAAATGTTATTATTGTTGTTAGAAGAATAGCATTTATTGCATAACAGCAGCTTAATATGACTATTAATCAAATTATTTAAATTATTGTTATTATTTTAAAAGCATTTATTACATCTATTATTAGTTAAATTATTGATATTATTATTATTATTATTATTAAATTTAAAATTGTGGAATTTAATGATTTAATTATTATTTCTGATTTTTTTATTACTTATTGTTATTATTATTTTTTTCTTAATTCTTGCTTTATTTATTTAATTCTGACTAGACGATCTTATGAGTAAATCTTTTAACAGAATAATTGGCTTAAGCAAACTTCATTACAATTTATCCATGACTATTTAAATGATTGTTCCCATGCAATTTATTTAATAAAGCAACAAATTCATTTCTTTATTATTGTTCCAAATATTCAAATAGTCTCTATACTGGATAATTAGCAAATTGATCATTAATCAATTTCTTAAACGAACTATAAAATTATTATATTTTTATATACCTTTCAGAAATTGAGACTTCTTCTTCCCATAATTTCAATCTCCATTGAGGTCCTGCATAGATAATAGCTTTTTCTGCTACATTACTACCATATTTATCCATAGACATTGAGATAAAGTCTTTAATGAGATATTAATCCATTAATAATCTTTTATGGACTTCTTGTCCTTTTTCCAATATTTATTAAATAATATAGTTAGCATACTATCTTCTAGTTAGACAAGAACTATTTTCGATAGCTCTAACTATAATGTTATTACAAATTGTTTTAGTTTAGATATCAAATTATTTTGGATAGATGTCGATTATTTTATTGACAATAAGACATCCATATTGATCTGTTGATAATTCGAACTTTTCTTTATTATTATTATTGAGAATCTATATATATAATATTCAATTTTACATATTTTGATAGAATTTAGAGTAAATTAAATAGATTGTTTCCATCAAAGATTTCTAAACTCTTTTAAATAATTTGATTAGCAATTTTATCAACATAGATTTTTTTCATTTACGCATTATCTTAATGTATAAAGGAAAGATAATTTTCTAGTTATTGTGGAGAATCTTAGGGATTACTTGCCATGATTTCTAAACCCTTTTGCATAACTTTGCAAGCATAGAGATCTTTGATGAGTTTATGTATTTGATTGTAGATTCTATCTAATATAAGATTTTTGTGGGATGGTGGACCTAAACATTTAATAATTGAAGATTACCAACTTCAATGATTTTTTCGAGTAAATAATGTTTGTACTTATCTAAACTAAAATTTTCAATATCATTTTTAATATAAGTATTGAATACAAATTCTTTTTCTCTTAAAGTAGCATTCTAATATTCTAATTACATCTTCCTAGAATTTTTAGTCAGCTTCTCATGACTAAGATATGATGACCTAATCATTTTAAAAATTAATATACATGTCAGCTGTAAAAGTCTAGGTAAGTGAGGGCTTGAATGAATCATTAAGTAAGACTTAGTTTAATTACTGATTTAGTTCATCAAACTCATCATCTTAGATAAATGAAATTGAAAGTACCATCTTAGTGCAGTTAGTCTTCAAAAAATTATGCACAGAACGCTTTAGAATTATTTGAATTCTCAAAGAGTGTAGGAGTGGCTGTGGAACCACTTTGGGAAGGATGACATTTCAATTCATCATCATCTTTATTAAATTCAACAGGTATATGATGATTAGCCATTTATTTATAATATTTATTATTAATAATAATAAAGGTTTTCTTTAAAAACCAGCCCAAAATTCCATATTATTTTAAAAATAAAATGGTAATTTAAAACAAATTAATCCTTTAAAACTCAGTAGTTGAATAAAATAAAAATCAAACCTTATCAGCCCAACCATCCGGAATGATTTATACATTAATCTCTTCACTGCAACTAATTAATTTACCATTAACCCATTCACCAAACTTTTTCTTTCCTTCTTTATTGATCATTACTCCTTTGCCATGTTATTTACCATCATACCAGTAGCCCTAATATTATTTTCCGTCAGGCCATTAAAAAATTCCAAAACCGCATTTTTTATCGAATTCATATTCTCCATCATAAACCTTTCCATCTTTCCACTTATACTACCCTCTTCCATGCATTTGATTCTTATTCCAATTTCCATTATAATACTATAGATACATTAATAAAATTACCCTACCATCTGACCATTCATATCTTCCTTAACCATGGATCATATTCTCAAACCATTCTCCATCATACCAACATCCCTAACTCCATTTATATATTCCTTAACCATGTTTTTTACCATTTCTAAACTATCCCTCATAAATTGATCCATCTGACCACGTCTCCTTACCCATACCATTAGCTTTCCCTTGTATAAATTGACCACTGTAAATAGGTCCTCTATGAAAATAATAAACACCATTTCCTTCAATAATATTATCCACTATGTCTCCTTCATAAATATCTCCATTATTTAGCCATAACTTCCCTTTTCCATTTGCTTTTCCATTCACTACATTTCCTTAATATTTTGATCCATCAACTAAAATCATCTCTTCTCCTCTTAGTTCTTCAGTTAAAGCTATTTCTCTATTTTCTATTTTTGCAGATAGTTTTCCATCATTTTAATCATAAGTGTCTTCTTTTCTAAACATTCTTCTTTTATTAAAATTATCTAAAGAAGGAGGTTTGTCTTTACTATATATTATAGCAAATACTATGTTTTTTAACTTCGTCCTCTTCATCTAAAAAGGATTGCTCCACATCAGGACTCTCATCTCCAAAATCTTCATCCATGTTCTAAATGTCAAATTCTTCCTTAGCTGAGAAAGCCTTACATTTCTAGCATTCTTATCCCATTTTAATTTTTATATTTTAATTTAATTTAATTGATATTTAGATTCAAACTTTAAAGCGATACTGTAATATTTACTGTTTATATACAAAATTTATGAAAAAAGAAATGTACAAAACATTTAATCGTAAAATGTAAATTAATTAATTCATCTTTTAAAAACTAAATTAATTTAATCAAATAATCTTTATCATACAAATAAAATCAAAAATGTGTGCCATCTTTTGTCTTATGAGGAACCTTAGTGAAAGTGATAGGTTTTGAATGAGAAAAATAATTATGTTACGAGGAAGTGATAATTTTATTACTCAAAGGTGCTAGAGGAATTGGAGACATTTAATAATCAATAGAGTTGCTAATTTAAATTCTTTAAGCAGAAGCAGATCTATCTATATAAAGAGACCTTTGTGTTTCTAATAATTGGTTATACTTCTCCTCTGCGGTTAATTTCTTTTAATCCATAATCTTCTATCTGGGAGATATAGAAATATTTATAACTCTTTGATCTAAAATAAATATTAAATTAAAACGTTCTAGTGTTGAAGATCTTTCTTTGTAGAGATCCAAAGAAACCTACTTGATTGATCCTAACGTATTTTTTTATTTATGCATTATTCTTTATTTAATTTAAGTGCCCACTCCTAATCTTTCAAAGATGGGTGTTCTCTTTTTAAACCAATGGATTAGAGTTTCAATAAAAGAATGCTCTCTAATACCATTATGTTATTAATTTATGTATTAAATTTTTTTGATACCTGTATAAGCTTTAAAAAGTTTTTCAGTTTATTCTGGTGGTACAATATTATCTAATTTGGAAGTGACAAAAATAGCTGGACATTTAATTTAAGATATCTTTTTTAAGCAATTAATATCATCTAAATCAAATCCAGCTTACTTTTTGAGTTCATTTGATACAAATGTTGATAAACTCTTTAAAATGAAATTAGGAATTTTAGTTCTGCTTGATGCCATTTATAAGATAACCTAATTAAAATTATAGTATGTATTTACATCTAATAAACAAACGAAAGGACTGTCCAATATCATTCCTTTAATAATTAAATTATTGAATCTTTGCATATATTAGATTGCAATAGCAGAACCCATAGATCTTCCCCATAGAATTATTTATTTATATGATGATTGGAAGTGAGTAATAACAGTTTACAAGTCTCCTACTTCTCTATGTCCATAAGTCACAATATCTCCATCAGACATTCCAGATCCAGTAAAATCAAATGAAATTAAACCAAAACCATTTTTAATAATCATTGAAACATATTTACTAACTTCCATTCTAGAACCATTAGCTGTATGTAAATATATGATGCAAACATCACTTTTTATTTACCCTACATATTAACTAACTTTGATCACTTCTTATCTAGGATTGATGATATCAAAATCTTCCCTTATATATTGAGTTTCTTCCTAAATCTAAAAAGAAGCTGTTCATAAACTTAAGTAAATTTACATAAATCATATATAGTGTATTCTGCTCTTGCTGGTCTAATAATTTATTGACAAATTTGATTCAATCCATTTTAGAAATATTTCATTCGTTAATTAAATTAAAATATATATTATAATGAGATAATAAATTAAACAAGAAGAGTCTGCACAACCTATGATTATATTGTAACCAACTAAATATAAATTTATGATTTTTATGGATACTTCTCTTTAAAAAGATGTAGACAAATTATACAATAAACATAATAAATAGATGTATTAAATTATATTCTTATTCCATATTAGTATTGATAAAGAGAGAGTTGAAAAAATTTAATAAGTTAAGGATAATGTGAAAGGTTTTAGAGAAATTATCAATGATTATTAGACACAATAAAATGAAATAGATAGTCTCAAGTTGTAATTACAGAATTAGATCAAAGCTATTTTATCAAAAGAATAAATTATAAAAAATATTGAAGACACTTACATGCAATAAATGGAAGAAGTAAATTGATCTCCATTTATTCATAGATCAAAAATAATTATGAGTAACGTCAATTTGATTTAGTTAAAGAATGTGAATAATTAAAATTCAGAAATAAAGAATTAGAAGAAATCAATATTAAATATCTATCATAAAATGATTTATTATTGAAAACCAATAATCAACTTTAATAAAGAGTAAATGAATTATAAATGAAACTAACTTTAGCTGAAAAGAATAATCTTGTTACATCTTTAGAATTAGAATAAATGAAAGAAATAAGAGCAGGAGCATTATTTATTAAAGGAGCATATAATATATTAAAATAACAATATTAAGATAATAATATTTATACTCTTTTGACTAAAAAATACAAATCTACTATCTTATAATTTTTAGAACCAAAAGATATATTTACTTTAATGTTGACAAGCAAACAAATGTATTTCATCATTTAAAATAATCGATCCTTATTAAATTATATTGTTAATTATAAAACCTTGGTTTTAAGAAATGAAATAAAATATTTAAGAGTAGAATCAAAGTAATTGAACCATTTAATTTAGTTATTTTTATGATATGTTATAGTAAATCCCTGAAGAAATTGTTTAAATTGGAATTGCAAAATTTTTAGTTTTCAAATTCAATGTTGGATAATACATGAATGAAATATTTAATGATGCATATGAATTAATTGAAGGTAAATTCCAAAATCAATAATAAATTTAATAGAAATAATAATTATCATCAAATGATTCTCTTTATCAGAATGAAGATTTACTTGGTTTAGGAGAAACAGAAGAACTATAAACATAGTCAAAATAATAAACTTCAACTTAATCATAAACTAACTTATTTACTAAAATTCAATCATAAACAACTAATCATGTATAATCCACAAATAAAAATACAAATAATAATCTAAAATAGTCTTAATCAAACTAATAAGCTAAATCCTTAAGTGATTTGTCTCTTTAACTTTAATAAGAATATAAGGATATAGATTAATTAATTCTAGAATCAATATAGGTTCCTTTTCTTAAAGCTTAGATTATAAAAACAAGAAGAGAAATGGTTGATTTAGTTAAAAAGAGTTAATCAATTAATCAATAATTATTCTAAACTGGTAGAAAGTGCATTCCAACACCTACATATCAACCTAAATTTACAATTTAGGATTTTATGCAAGCCTTACAAATGACTTTCTCTAAATTTGTAGTTCATGGAAATTATTTGCATTTAGAATCCTAATAATTATAATAAGTATGTAATTACTTCTCAAGACTTCTCTTAGAATAAAATAAATAGATTTATTAATTAAAATCAATAATAGATGATTAGAAAGTTGAATTAGATTCTTAAAAAGAAATGAAATATTATATTCAAGATAGAGCAAAAAGATTTGAAGAAAGAATAATTAAAGCTGAGGAATAAATTTTTACTCTAAATAAATTAAATTTTGAATAAAAATAACAAATATTATAATTGTAAAAAAAAGAAATAGAGTTGGAAAACTTAAATAAAGAAAAAGATTAAAAAACTTAAACTTTATTTTAAGCAGTCAAGTAAATAAAAATAGAAAAAGATTAAGTTGAAATCAAATTAAATTAAGTATTAACAAATTTCAAAAACATGAAAAATGCCCTTAATAAAATAGTATGATATTATAAATCATTGATTATTTATGTTATATATTTTATAATCAAAAATTAAAATATTTGATAAATCATGAATGATTTAAAAAAGAAAACAATTATAAATTCAAAAATGACATTTTTATGTAATTATGATGATCAACTTAAATTTATTTTTGTAAGAAAATAATTTTCTAATATATAGTTAGTTTTTAAAATTTACCAAGATACAAAAATACAATAAACAATAATTAAAATTCATTTTAAAAGGCATTTTAACATTTATTCTGCTTGATTAAGTGATTAAGTTTAGATTTATTATTGATTACTCTGGTAATTAGATGTTAAAATAGTTTATCTTCTTTCTAATTAATATATTGCATTGGATCGTTTTATTCTATTGTAAAATAAATCCATTAGATTTTAATGCGAAATATAATCATATTCAGCTAATTCTGGAACATCATATATAATTTCATTAGATGGTTCTTATTCTAATGAATACTGGTATACATCTTATTATTTGCAACAAAACTTTTAAATTTTATTAAATAATTCTTTTTAATAAAATTTGATATAATGATATAATTAATCATTATTTTTTACACTTGAAAATACTGAACTGCAATTTGTAGATGTTAATGAAATACCTGATGTCCCTAAACTTTCTGCTATAATGTTCTCAGAAGAATTATTAATATCATCATCCATAATTGTTATTTATTTGAATAAAGATTTTATTTTCAATTAAACATTGTATTATGATTATAAATAGTATTTAAAGTTCTAAACTTCATTTACAAATAAATTATTCTAAAGGTGTTAATCTTCAAAATTTTTAACTAAAATTTTAGACATCTATTAACTTTCTTAATGAAATTACTTAATTTCACATTTAAACTGATCAACTCTAAATGCAGATGATAATTCAAACACATAATAATCATATACATACTATCCAAATATATAAATTAATAATTCCTCATCTTATTAATACTCTATATTTAATTTAGGAGTTAAATCTATTGCTAAATTAATTAATTAATTAAGTTCTTAACAATATTAAAAGTTATAATAACCATATTATTGAATATTATTTTAATTAGTACTAATATCAATAAGATATTAAATATATTATCTCAACAACTAAGATTTTTTATTTTTATTTCTAGATTCTATCATTTACAATCTAAAATCTTCTCTTAATTTAACAATCAATTGTCCTTTATCAGCTTTCTTCATCCATTCACATACCATAAAATGTCTAATCGTATATTTAGGTAACTTATATTAGGGCAAGCTTTCATCTATTATTTTATTAAATAGGAATATTAAATCAAATGTCTAATTTTCTACTGAACTTATCCAACCCTAATAATGTTACCAAATTTAAATAAACTATTCTAGATTACATTTAGAAAATCTTATTTCCAGATATTAACAAAATATTTTTACATAATCATGCAAATTATATATTAACATTAGTAATTCTGGTAATTATGTATGAATTTCAAACCCTTACCTAACTCTTAATAATATATCTGTATTATTAGATGCAAAGTTTAATGCTTCAATATAATCAAAACTCTTAATAATTTATTTTTGTTCATTAAATTAATTTTCATAATATAGAATGGCTTTCTAAAACCCACTATAATTTATTTTCTGTTCTATAAACATTGGGAATTATTTTATCTAATATCTTACACTTTTAATTGCTTCTCCATATGGTAATGTTCTTATTGGAATACTCATTACACTTTATAATATTAATTTCCAATTTTTGGATTATATTAACTCACATTTAATATTTAAGAGTCTTTAGCATTCTATTTAAAAACAACCAGAGGTTTAACTAAATATTTAATACGTAGTTTTTGACACTTGAAGGAGATTATTAAACTCTTAAACATTTAAAAAACATGTAATCAGTGAAGAAGTTTTTTAAGATAACTTGGAAAATAGACTAAATATATATTTTAGATCCTTACATATCCTTCTTTATTACAAATAATTTCTTAAGTTGTTCCTTTTTTTTGCTTTTAGGCTTGGGATGATTTTTATTTTATGATTAGTTATTTCCCATTGTGTATTATTAAAAATAAATATAGAAATTATCAATATTATTAATCAATTCAAAATCGTGAAGGTCTAATTTCTATGGAATTAGATAAAATAGTAAATTTTTATAGAGGTCCTCTACTAATTTATTATTCCCAATTTGTATCATCCATTTCTATTCCTGTAACAAAATAAACTGCAATCTGATTATTTGAAATTACTTTTACATTAATAAGTTTTCTTATCAAATAAATAAGCACTCTTACCCATCACTCTCTTAGAGATATTCGTTCATAACATCCATTATTTGATCTCTAATTAGTTCAACATTATCATATGGTTTACATTAAACTCTTAACATTTTGAATCTATAATTTAACAGTGGACTTGTTATTTTAATCATACTAAATAAATTAATTACTATATGCATACTTTTAGCATTTTATATTTTCTTAATAACATTTAGGAAAAGATATGGAAAAAGTGATTAATAGGATGATATGGATATCTTCGATATTCAGATATTTAAAATACACATTATTTTGATTAAATAAAATATTAGAAATTGTAATCACTCATGGAATTAAACTTCAAATAATTGGTTATAATGTTAAGAATCAATAGGATAACGTAATAGAGATAAAAAAATAATTATATTGTAATAAAGATATTAATAAATGGATGATTCAAATTAATGAAAATTAAATAGGATGATATTTGTTAATCATATAGCATTATTAAATAGAAAATATTTACATGATTGTTGAATAGTGGCATAAGAAATTTTATTGTAGAAAATAATGGATTTTCTACAAAAGTTTATTGTATAAATTTAATATTAATAGTGAATTTAAGAAGCTGCATATAAGGATATAATACAATAAAAATTAATATGTTATATAATTTATTATTTAGAAATTAATAAAAATGAATAAATAATTCTATTAAATAATAATCTTATTAATGAAAAGTGATAAACAATAATTAATATAAGAAATTAAAAAAGTTTACTAATAATTTAGATATTAATTATATAATAATAATTCAGATCAAAAAATTAAATAAAAATTAGGTTCAAACTTAAAAGCATTTATCTCTTACATAGAATTGGACAGGATTAATGATGTTGTAAAAAATCAGATTAACTAATTAAAACTCAAAAAATCAATTATAAAGATAAATATATATATTAACTCTATTAAAAGTTGATGAAAAATTATAAATTCATTTTTACAATTTTTTGATTAGTTTTGTTAAATACAAAAAGTTAATTTTTGGATTTTACATTAATGTTAGATATTGATTAATTTATAAATTTTTGTGGTCATAGCATAAGATATAAATTTTTATTCAATAATCTTTATCCCAATTAGGATCTCTAGCTTTTTCTGGTTNAATTCAAAATCGTGAAGGTCTAATTTCTATGGAATTAGATAAAATAGTAAATTTTTATAGAGGTCCTCTACTAATTTATTATTCCCAATTTGTATCATCCATTTCTATTCCTGTAACAAAATAAACTGCAATCTGATTATTTGAAATTACTTTTACATTAATAAGTTTTCTTATCAAATAAATAAGCACTCTTACCCATCACTCTCTTAGAGATATTCGTTCATAACATCCATTATTTGATCTCTAATTAGTTCAACATTATCATATGGTTTACATTAAACTCTTAACATTTTGAATCTATAATTTAACAGTGGACTTGTTATTTTAATCATACTAAATAAATTAATTACTATATGCATACTTTTAGCATTTTATATTTTCTTAATAACATTTAGGAAAAGATATGGAAAAAGTGATTAATAGGATGATATGGATATCTTCGATATTCAGATATTTAAAATACACATTATTTTGATTAAATAAAATATTAGAAATTGTAATCACTCATGGAATTAAACTTCAAATAATTGGTTATAATGTTAAGAATCAATAGGATAACGTAATAGAGATAAAAAAATAATTATATTGTAATAAAGATATTAATAAATGGATGATTCAAATTAATGAAAATTAAATAGGATGATATTTGTTAATCATATAGCATTATTAAATAGAAAATATTTACATGATTGTTGAATAGTGGCATAAGAAATTTTATTGTAGAAAATAATGGATTTTCTACAAAAGTTTATTGTATAAATTTAATATTAATAGTGAATTTAAGAAGCTGCATATAAGGATATAATACAATAAAAATTAATATGTTATATAATTTATTATTTAGAAATTAATAAAAATGAATAAATAATTCTATTAAATAATAATCTTATTAATGAAAAGTGATAAACAATAATTAATATAAGAAATTAAAAAAGTTTACTAATAATTTAGATATTAATTATATAATAATAATTCAGATCAAAAAATTAAATAAAAATTAGGTTCAAACTTAAAAGCATTTATCTCTTACATAGAATTGGACAGGATTAATGATGTTGTAAAAAATCAGATTAACTAATTAAAACTCAAAAAATCAATTATAAAGATAAATATATATATTAACTCTATTAAAAGTTGATGAAAAATTATAAATTCATTTTTACAATTTTTTGATTAGTTTTGTTAAATACAAAAAGTTAATTTTTGGATTTTACATTAATGTTAGATATTGATTAATTTATAAATTTTTGTGGTCATAGCATAAGATATAAATTTTTATTCAATAATCTTTATCCCAATTAGGATCTCTAGCTTTTTCTGGTTTATATATGTTATTGGTTGTTGTTGGATCACTCTAAGAATAATAATTGATGATACCTTAATTTCTTCAGTAATAAGTTTTCCAGCCTAAATAGCTTTTTAGATTTCTTTATCACTTTATAGTTTGCTTTTAGGTGGAAGGTATGGAGGTTTTAAATCTCTGTTCATTAATGAATCATAATCAAAATGTTCAAAAAATGAATTGTTTTTTAAACTTGCATATGATGATCCTAATCTTAACTCAGGAGTTTTGCTTAAGAGTTATTCGATTAGTTTTTTAGCCTTTCTATCTTTGAGGACAGAAGGAAAACTCAAAGGCTTCTTTTAGATTTCTTCATAAATATCATATCTAAATAGTTTATATCAAGATTTACGGGTCATCTGCATCTTCTGCATATGGTACATTACCACACATAAATTCATACAAACAAATACCTATAGACCATAAATCAACTGAATAAGTGTATCCTTTTCCAGATAATATTTCTGGAGCCATATAATGAGGAGTTCCAATAATAGTATGTGTTCTACCATTCTTATTTTTAAGATTTTTAGCAGTTCCTAAATCAATCAATTTCATAAAACCCTGATTATAGATATATATTATATACTTTATCATCAACCATAATATTTTCTGGTTTAATATCTCTATAAATGATGTTATTGAGATGAAGATATTCCATACATAAAATTAATGATCCAATATAAAATTGAGAATCATATGTATTTAAAAGTCCAATTTCTCTAATGACATCAAATAATTCCATTCCTTTAATATATTCTTCTAAAAAGTAAATATAATTTTTATCCTAAAAGCTTTTAACAAAATGCATTATAAGTGGAAAATTAGCAGTTTATAATGTTTATTTTTCCTAAGCTAAATGCTTTTCCAAATTTTATTCAATTATTTAAGCTTTAGATATACATTTAAGAGCATAATTTTTCTTATCAATTTTATTATGAACTAAATAGACATTACCAAATTAACCTTAACCTAATTTCTTTATTGATATTAATTCATCTAATTTAAAATGATCATATTAATCTTTTTTTTATCCTTCTTCTTTTTTGATAAATCTATCATGTGCTTTCTCATTTTTTAAAAAGATTTATTCTAATGTACCACCAATAATTTCAAAAAAGACTTTGATTTATATTTAACTTATCAATCCATCTTATTTCATTATTAAAGAATCAGTTAAAATTTAATTTTATTATTCCAAAAACTTATCACCAAACATTTAACCTTTCTCTATTGATTATTATCCATATTATATATTGGCTGTTAGAACAACAATCAAATGAGTACATTTTTAACCTTTCTCTAAAATTACTTCGCCTTATTTAAATTATTTCTATTCCATATTACTTACTATTCTTTCTACTTATAATTTAGTAAGTTATTTCAAAATAGGATGACGTTCAAATGCCCATCTTTATAAATTTAAAAACATAATAGTCTATATTTTATCACCCAAAATTCTAGTCAAATCATCTCTTGATAAAGCCAATAATATAACATCTTAATGTGCTTTTGCTGTTGCCCCTCTAACAGAATTACTTTATAATGCTTATTCACCTAAAGAATCTCCTTATTACATTATTCTCAACTATTTCCCTCCTTTAGATATTTCAATCTCTCCTTTTTTTATTATAAAAAACGAATCTGCTTAATCTCCTTCATTTACTATTATTTCACCAGCTTTAAAATTAAGTGTTATTAGAACTGATGTAATTGCAGTTCTTTAATCATCAGTCAATGATTCTATTCTATTATTTTATTTTATTACCAAAAAATTAAACTTTCTATATAAACTCTTTATTTTATTCATAATCCTTCAAAGAGATTTCCTCAATCACTTTTCTTACTGTATTTCTATCTATGGCCCAAAAAGCACAATCTAAGTATTACTTATTTTATTACCTCCTATAGCTTTTACTGAGGCAGATCTTGGAGCATTGTACAATAATGCTAATTCACCAAATGCTTCCCCAGATTTTAAGGTTTTTTTTACATCATTATTTATAATAATTTAGCATTAACCTCTTTCAATTAAAAAATATGAACTCCCCTTATCTCCTTATTTAAATACCATCTCTTAATCTTTCACTGTACAATAGAACATTTTCTCAATGACCTTTACTCAAAATAATATTCAATTTTTTATACATGTCATCGCCCTACAACTATGCAAATATAAAACTATTAGAAAATGCATTCAATAATAGTTAATAATCAAAAGGACTTTTTACTTTATCTTGTTTTTAGATATTTTCATAGATTACTTCCTAATCAATAACAGCTGCTAT